AATGGTTGTCAAACATATTTTCAATCATAATTATACTTAAATAGACTTTATTCTCCTTCGTTTTACATTATCGAAGATTACACTCTCTGTTTGTGTTTATATCTGCAACCACGTGGTAGAACTACTTTCAATCCGTATTGTTTCCGAGGTTATTATAGATAATAGCCGACAACGTTCAAATTTCTAATTTTATTATGCTTTTCAACTTCGTGCATTTCGCTTACCTCCGATAAAAAAGTATGCCCGCGTCGGATCTAATGATTGCTAGCCGCTTGTTTTCAAACCCCGTCAGGTGCAAGTCGTTGTTTCTTTGAGCAAGAAACTTTACACTCATTGCTCAGTACTGGTTGCTTCCAGGTGTGTCTATAAGTTTATAGCTTCCTGCACAATCAAACTTCAATAAATTTTGTATAAAGCAAAAGGGCTGTTATTTCAAGTGCCCAGTAAGTTATCAATGGAGGCAAATAATTTTCATGTAATGCATGGTTTGATACAACTTCCTATTATTAAGACATAGAGAACATATTTAAAGTGAGGGAAACTCCTTAAACTGTCCACAGCGCCTCGATCTATCCATTCTCTCAAATAATGGACAGTTTTCGGAGTTTCTTCTTAACTTATAAAAGTGAAGTATTGGGTTTACTTACGGCAAGGCCGTACAATGCTTACATATGCAATTATGCAAAAGACTATTAGGAGTAAAGAAAAACACACAAAACGACTTTATTTATGGTGAATTAGGAAGAATGCCTTTACAAAAATATGAGATATTATAACATTATAAAATTTTGGATAAAATTGTTGGCTACAGATGATTACAAATACCTGAACTTATTACGATCGTTTTTCAACAGTATCTTGATTTTGTAAACGTTAAATAATTCCGTGGTTGTTTATAAGTTGACGCTTATCATCACATAGACTTTTCATTGAAAGTGGCCGATGGATTAACCCTGCAATCACTCCAGTAAAAGAACGGAAATGTACTTTTTGCGATACATTAGAAGTTAATTAAATACTATTTTGTTAAGAATGTTTTTATGTAACACAGAAAGCGATTTGTACCAACCCGTTATTACAGACGACCAAAAATGCAAAAATGTGTTGATTTAATTATTACAGAATGTAAGCGTGTCATAAGAAATTTAAGTACATAATAATGTACAAAAAAGCATTTACATTAAGAACAAACTTTACGTAAACAATTATTCTTAAACTTATCTTTCAAGATGTAATGATGTGTGTTTTGTTTCGCATGACTATTGTATTGTATTGTATTCAACTTGCTACTTTCGTTTTTGAGCAATTGAATAAGACTTCATTAGAATGACATGTTCAACCTGTAGCGAGACATATGCTATGCTTACATGTAAAAGTGCATATTGCGTTTATCATTTAAAAAGTTTATAAATATATGAAATGAAATCCATTGGTCACCAACTTGTCACTTTCTTTTTCGAGCAAGTCGTGATATATATGAACACATAAGTTCATTGAATGTTAAAGTGTATTCTGCTTATTATGTTATAAAAATGATGGAGGCTTTATCCTTGGCATATCAATATTACCATTCAAGTTTATTTATCAATGACATAGGAATATATAGTATTGGTATATAAACATTTAACCTACCTTTACAATCCTTCCAGCAATTTATTGTTTTGACACATGGATTAGCATTTCAAAAGAATCGCCATAGAAATAAGTACTTTCATCATATCATGTGTGTTGGAAAAACAATAATTTGCAATAACTAAATGTGATAGTAGCAAGTTTTAGTTTGTTCTAGTCGTCGGCCGCATGCGTATGTGGCCTTTTGGTGTTTTGAAATTAAAATCTTGAATCTTATTATTTTTATTCATTTCATTTATACATTTTGTACAGTTATGTCATACACTTCAATACGCATTACTTCAATTTTTTTATCAAATATATTAAAGGCTTTACCAACAAATCTGAACATTACATATCTGCATTCTTTAAACCTCCAGGCGTACAGTAATGGGTTCACAGTGCACATTATAAGCATGCAAAGTGCTGATATTCTGGTGTTCCATGCATTGTTTTCTGTGAAGGCATTAACACATACTGAGATAAATAGAGGATTGTGCACTAACTGAAATACCACGATAATGCACGTGATATTTCTTGTTGAAACAAAATGTCTGTCAGTAGATTGACTTCCGGTTATGCGCAAACATTCTATTACTTTCATATGTTTCTTTACCACACGAAAGATGGCGATGTAACATACAGAGTTGATAAATATGCAGGCACCAAGAAAACAGATAATTAACTGACTGTTTTTAGTTGCTTGTATGAAATTGAATTCGTCGTCCATTATAACTGGAATAAGTAAATAACGCACAGATAACTTGATGCAAAGTGTCAAACATATACCCACGATAACTACCCACGTGACAGTTCGTTTATTTGCTATTCTTGTATATAGGTACGTATGATATAGGCACATGACACGTTCAAGCGACAAAATGGTCACTGATGACCAAGACACTACTGTCACAATCCGTACAAGTTCAGTTAAAATTGCCCAACTAATTGGCTTAGTAAATCCAGCTCCTTGTGCTATCATACAAAAGACGAGAAACAATGAATTGCAAATTAATGTGATACTTATCAAAAGTTTAGCAGCAAACGGGATAAGTTTTGTTGATATGATTGCCACTATCGTGAAAACGTCACACATTAATATAATTAAGACTATGCACATCACATATTTTGACATATCAATGCTGAGACAGAATTTATCTATCGTCTCTCTCGGATCAGTGGTAAATATTCGTTCAAAAGTAACACCGGAAATATCTGTTGCTGTTGCATTTCCCACATACATTTTTATCAAAATTCCATTCACAAAGCAAAAAGTCAAGCGTTCAGTAAGATATCATTTATTTCTCCAGCATAGTCCAAAAAAAAGGTTTGTTCTCAGAAATTGTAGATTGACACACATGATTCAATGCCGTTTTGTCTTCTATATGCGTATTTAGATATTTTTTGTATATTATTGATATAATATTGATATAATATGAGGTTTCCTTAAATCAGATAATAAGGATTAATAACTTAAGCAGCTTTTGGGGGAGGTGATACAATATTAATACGATCCATGCCTAAGGAGTTTAAATTTAAAAACTATCTTGAAGTAATGTTACTAATAATACAATTAATGCAATGGGTTTAAAGCTTATTGACCTGTGTTTGGGAAACGACGTTAACGGTTCATTTACATAAGCAAACAGCCTCGGGTCAAGTACGATTGACTAATTATTATTGAATGATAATAATTTTGAATGTATTGATGATTTTACCGTTCAGCCTTTTAATGAATGGTCGGACCATTGTCCGTTATCCTTCATATTGATTTGTAATCATATAATGTTCAATATTCAAAGACACTATTTAAATACAAAGTAAGCACGTATTCACAGAGATCAGGTACCAAATAATATATGGAACAAAGAGCAGATTAACTAGGAAGTGATAAGTTACATGGACCAAGTGTTGCCTTTTATATACCTAGTTAAATTGTATAAACATTTTTTTATTAACATCTGACTTTTTTTCTTATACCAGCATTTATAAAACAAAATCATATTATAACTTGTAATTTACTACATTTTAACTACATATTTTACATAGTCTGATTTCTCTTTTATGATTCGACCAATTGTCACATTCTACAAATCAAATGTCGGATTGGCTGTCATATTTGATGAGATATCTTTCGACGAAATGTCATGAAAGCCGTTTTAATATGTACCAACTTCAACTTTTAATTTATGAGGACACAGTGTAATATATGAGAGCATAGTTTTAATCTAGCTAATTGATTTCTTAAACTACCATTCCGTGTATTTTTCTAAAGATAAATAAGCGTATATTTACAACAGGAGTTCAGTCATGAAAGTAATATTTGATCGCCATTCTTGAAGAAATTAATCCCTCTTTCAAGACCAAATAATGACAAGATATCACTTCTGTTGTACATTATAAGAAAGAGTTTTGACAAGTCATTACCACATTTCGACAAGATATCACGATTATTTCACATTATAAGACTATTTAACAAGTCAACAAAAAAAGCACTCAGTATATCATAAAACGGCATGATTAAGTCCATTCAACACCACATTTTTGAAAGATGATTGAGTATTTGACATAATAAGAAAATTCAACAGTCGACGTTGGCTCATAAACACTTCTGTAAATTGACACAATAAGACAATGTTGTTCCTGGCATATACACGTGAGGGCTTTTGTCTGCCCTGTCATTACACGGGAGGGCTTGTGTCCGCCTTGTCATTTTTGGACGGGAAGGCTTTTGTCCAGGAGGGCTTTTGGCCTACACTCGAATATAAAATGGGTAGAAAAGTTTTATTTTGCAAAGTTATGTACCTTTTTTATTTAGATTTTTATATAATATATATATCCGGGTATTTTGCACATACTTATGGTCCTGTACATAACTCTTAGCTGGGACATACGATAATTATCGTATATCCCAGCTCTTAGTAAAGTAGGATGCTTGGAATCTTTAAAAATCTTCAAACATTTTACCTGAAATTGTATTCAGTTTATGCATGAGTTTCATTTGCTTTCTTCCCATTAATTTAAGGTGAAATAATGTTTTTGTTTGGGTTTTTTTTTTGGTCACAAAAATGACATTTTTCAACTAACACAGTTGTCTTCAGCAAACTCAACTGAAGTTTGTGAAGGCAGTGATTTGAGCGAAGCTAAGCACTAGGCACTGTAGTTGCTGAGAAGATTTATTAAAGTCTATTTTTATGCACCAGACTGACACCATTTATATAACTTTTGTAGAAGACCACCTCATGATCATTCCTGTGAAGTTTGATCACAATCCATCATGTGGTTTAGGAAAAGATGTTGTTTAAAAAAAAATGCTGATTCCAATGGACTAACACACTGCCATCACAAAAAGCTCACCTCTGAGGTGAGATAAAGAATAAAATGCAACATTTTGTCATTCAATTTTTATCTATTTTCATACAAATGTATTTACATATTTAGATTTTATATACAAATATAGCAATATGTGTAAATAAATTCAACATGATTGTGGTAGCTTATTAGAAGCAAATTTTTAACAAAAATTTCGCACTTACACAAAAACAACAAATGTCTGTCTGTAAGACAGCACATGCGACAACTCACAGAGACATAGATGTTACATACATCTCTGCTATACAGTAAGAAAAGGGGCATAACACTGTAAAAAAGTAACTTAGAGTTATGAAACCTGAAGATTAACTGTATATTATTCATAAATTTAACAGCACAGTAATGCAAACTATTTGATTGAATATTAATTATTATAATGGTTGCATTATCAAATTTCAAGCATGATTACCATGTAGGTTTCTATATAAATTTCAAAAGCAAATACAATAGCTTCCTGCAATACAGAACAGGTGTTCAAAGTTTTGGCTCAAATCCTAGTCTAAGTGCTAAAGTTAGTAATTATTCATACTCAACTTTTAGAAAATGTTATTATACATTCTGTAATCTATAGTTGATGACTGTGTAAACAATGCATTGGCTGAACAGTGCTCTTGTTAATTCAATGTGGCTTACTGCTGTTATCCGGAGGAAAAACTACCAACACAACCACCCAAATATTTGGGATTCAATAACAAAGCATGCGTGTTGTAATATAAATGGATATCATGAGTTAGGGAATAAGAAAAGTGAATGCGTTGAGGCGAAATAATGCATGTCTCCATCTGTCTTTCTTGACATAGGAAAACCTTTATATAGTTCACATGTATAAGAATACATATTATAATATCTGACTCTTTACACCTGCTATCAAGATGGTCCAATTCAACATAAGTCAACCATACATTGCCACTAGAAGCCAACTTTAGAAAACTTTGCTGTCAAACTATCAGGTTGCTATTATTCAGGAATCAAGTAGTCAACTACTAGGATGTTATTGAAGGATGACCGCCATCAACTCTTTCCAGTTTTTCAAAATGTTTGCGAGCATTTTTTATGTTGATAAGTGTGGCTGCCGATGCTGAAATAGAGAACAAACGTTTGTGTGTGTAACTTCTCTTTTTTTTCTTTTTTTTAAGTTTTAAATCATCTTACTCTAGAAAAAGTTCAAAAGTTTACAGCTGCATTAAAATATTCAATGTTATCAGTGATGCCTATACTGGTATGACTGACAAATATCACAACATAAAAATAAAAAGGTTCATAGAGATTAAAAATCTTACTAAATGTATTTGTTAACAAGAGGATATGGATGATAATTATACAATTTACATATACTCGTAATAGTTATACAATAAGGTATCTAAATATAACCCTGATGCATGATGCATCAATATATAACTTTAAAAAAAAATATTTTATGTATAAATAACTGTACGTTTAAATAGAATAATTACAATAGAAAACAGAGAACTTAAATCTTTCAATCTGAAACGTGAACAAACCATTCTTATTCCTATCCAGAAACTTAACTTAACCTTTAATCTGTTGGCGACTATATAATCTGCCCATGTGACCAGTGCAGACCATGATCAGCTGGTACAACCGTGCTGTCTGATCATGGTCTGCACTGTTTGCTAATCAGTTGGTACATATAAGTATAAGGAAAAAAAATCAAAAATATAATACTCACGAATTCCTGGATCCGACATAACTACCATTATATATGTGTTAGGTGTGAACACGTCAATAAAGGCAGCAAAATGTGCATTCCTCACTTCCATACTTTGAAACGAGGCAGCTAATTTACTACAACTCAGTTTGAATTGTTTAATTATGTTACTTATCTTCTCAAACCGGTGTATGTCTTTGTGTTGTTTTCGTTCACAATGTGATATCACCTGTTAAAAGACAGAGACAAAAATTGCTTTTAAATTAAAGAAACTGAAAAAGATGATTTAATATGATACAAAGCTTTAAAAAAAAAATCAGCTATATTTATAAAAGGTCAAAATGACCAATGCATAGCAAAATGGTATTGTTATTTCATTTTGTTTTTTGGTGGCCTTTGTTCTGGCTAAGTGGTGAAAGTTTCTAATATAGAATCACTTGCCTCTCACCAGTGTGATTGAGAATCCAACCAGGGGCATTGAGATTTTTCATGTGACCTAGCTTAAGGAAGGTTGGCAAATCTACTCAGATGCCTGCTTGAGATCATGCCTAAAATAATACACATATGAGCACCTGAGGTCTTCCTCCACCAGTAAAGCTAGGGAGTCACAGAAACCTTCTCAGTGTTAAGCTAATGTAAGTAAACACAACTTAATAATGGCTGTTTACTATAATTACATAGAACATGCTCATTTGATGCTGCATTTCTCTAAAACAAATAAATTATTTTATTACTTGTTTTGACACATTAACCACTCAGCCTTGCTGATGCTCCAACTACCAGTGTAACAACAGGTAAATTTTATTGTTTTAATTATTCAAAACACACAAAAAAAACAAATGACTGAAAAATAAGCGAATACTGTACATACCAAAAATGTTGCTTTTTCAAAGAGTAAAACTTCATCAGCATCAATGATGCCTGTAAAGTTAGCTAACGTGTCCTCAAGTTGTTTAACATTAGGTATCAATTGATATACCATTGATGACCATGCCTGAAAACATACAAATACGGATATACAAATAAACACCACAAATAGCATTACATAAAATTGTTTTTTGTATTATCTTCCCGACCTATTGACATGTATTGTAGCAGTTTAAGTCATAGTATATGAACTGATGAAACAAAAACACAAAATTTTAATGTGTCTGTTCACTTCATCTTATAAAATTTATTTATGCACATTAGAGTCTGTGCTAGCTCTTGTTATATCAAAATGACTTGGAATGCAGAAAACTTAGAAAGAATTATTTTTTTGGTAAAAGATTGTTTCTTCTTCTTAAGCAGATACATTTGAAAGCTGAATTAGACGGTCTGGCCTACTTTATTCTTCCTCTTTTACCAACTAGTTTCAGGAAGTTTGTTTCACTCAAAATTGCTTAAAACTGGCCAGACTACTTTTATTTCTTATATCCAGAAGAAATTTGAATAAAGTAACTGAAATTATAAAGATTTTCTACCCTTTTTGAAAATTCAGCTATGGTAAACAATGTGTCTATATGTTTGGCCAGACTCCATATAAATTGTTGACCAACTTCCAAATATGGAGCTTGTTAAAGTTTCAAATAGATTTCATTACTTTACCTTGTACAAAGTCTCGTCCCATATTGATGTTGCGAAGCAAGTACAATCTAATGGTTTTGAAAGACGTTTTAAATCATCTTCGCGCTCTCTTATAATCTATGAAATAAAACAGTATTTCAAGTTTTAAACAAAACATATTCATTAAAGTTAAATCACTTTAAATTAAACAAACATGTATTAAGTTGAGCATTTTTTACCAAAGTGATGTTGTCATTGGAGGAATCATGGCCTTGATCGCAGCAAAGCCCGAACCAATGATCCGTGCGTTGAAAGGCAGACACTCTCACCACTAAACTACCCTCCCACTCACCTTTTGGGGGAATCAAACAACACAGATTTTCAAAATTAAGTCTGTTATGTAAGTTTTCTGTATTAATCAATATGAAGGAAACTTGAATGAAATGAAACCCATTATTCCTTTGTTGTCGCTATCCTGTCCTCATCATCTTTTTAGATCAAATACTCAAAACATGTGCTTAATGATTACTATTCTTTAACTAATTCTTTATCATTTGAAATACTTGACAAACTAAGAATTTACTAAATTTTAATTACTATTAAATCTGGAATTATTTGGGGCCTGTAATTTACAAGTACTTGACAAAACAGAAAATAAACAGTTTAAAGACTAAGTTAAGAACTTGCACAAACAAAGAATTAACATTAAATAATGACTAACACTCAGAGACACTACATGTGACCTATATTCAATATATTATTCTATGAATGCAGTATCTAAAACCTACCAAATCTCTCTGATCATCTTGGACGAGATCCATTTTATGTATGAGACAGAAAACTTTGGCTTCTGGTGAGTTTTGAAGTATCGCCTCCAGGCATGACTGATAATAATGCATGTCTTTTTCTAGCTCACGACTTTCTACATCAAACACATATATCAAAACTTCAACATTCCTGAAGATATTGTCTCGTTGACTAGCAAAATAATTCTCCATGAATGCCTCTTGACTGAAATAACAACAACAAATTAAATGACATGTAGGCCTATTTAAAAGGCAATGTATTGTAACCATACCAATATTTGTAAGTTACGGTACTTAATTTATTGAAAAAAATCTCAAAAGAAAGCATGAATATTCGGCTGCTCATGGACATGTTAATATTTATTATAAAAGTTTTCTTATTAAAATACAATGATTGTCAATAAATAAAATTCTACTATTGACAAACTTTTCAACAAAGGCCACCAAGGGGAAGTGTAAAAGTGACCTTTGTCCAGGGAGATAATACCACTATTTTTAATGAACATGTTTCTTTGTTTCTAAAAGACCTTTTCAACATTGTGAGAAATCAATAATCATGATAAAGGGCAGTAATCCTGCATGTACTTAAATATCTGCTATCCAAACCCTTTTCATTCTTATAATATACTTATATTTTCATACTTCAATCTGCCAAACTGGTTTAAGTATCACATAACATCTAAAGATGAACTATTTTCTATCAATTTCATTATAAAGATTTCGCTTGATTGCATTTAACTATCAAAATTGCCAGTTTTTTTGGCTAAATTTGTTTACACTCTAGTCTCTATGATAACTCTATAATAACGAAAAAGATATGTTATGCATAAATGTTCATAATTTTTGCTATAAGAAATATAATCATATGTTTTTACACATTATTTAAAAATGAATACAGTAAATTGACAATTACCCTCCACAATCCCACAAATTGAGGACAAGGTTTCCAAGGAAACGTACATGTGAATGCTCAACATCAACTGAAATCATAAAGGTTAACTATTATAAACATACTATTTCAACCTACAACTAATAGTACAAATAATCAAGAAGAACAAGGGCAGCTAGACAGACAGCCTGCTTGACTACCTGTATTTACAGTAAAACAAAGCAGTAGAACATTGGAATAGATAACAGTCATGACAAGCGGTTAAATCATTTGTGCAAGGTTATTTTAAAACTATTAATTTGTGTTAGTTATTGAGCGGGCACAAAATATGGCCTTTTTTACATTTTACCTTTAACAGTAACCTTAACCTTGGGAGTAGCAACCTTGTCATAGTGGTGACTATTTGGGGCAAGTTAATTAAAAAAATTCATTAGTCTAAAAGTTATGTAAAAGACTTAAGAAATGTGGACTTTTTTACATTTGACCTTTAAGAGTAACCTTGACCTTTGGGAAACAACCTTGTTAATGTGCTCTGCACATTGTCTTATAAGGGTGTTCATTTTTGTAAAGTAATTTTTATTAACTTTTCATAAATTTAAAAGTTATGGAGGGGACACAACACAGTTTTTTTTACATTTGACCTTTAGTAGTGACCTTGACATTGGGGGTAGCAACTTTATTGTTTCACTCTGTATCATCTCATAATTGTGGTCATTTGTGCCAAGTTAATAAAAAAATTTTCTTTAACTTAAAAGTTATGGGGATGGTGACCTGGTTGTTGCACTCTACACATTGTCTGATAATGGTAATTATTTTTGCCAAGTTATTTTAAAAACTTTTCATTAGTTATAACTTATATAGTTATGCAGTGGACACGACAATGTTAAGGACAGACAGACTTTCTGTTATCGCCTCCCAAGTTCCCAACTATGCTGCAGGGGATTAAACTAGAGAGAGAGAAATAGGTACAAACTCTGACAACTGCATCAGAAAATCAATTCTTTGGCTCAGCTGTCTAGAGTAAGAGGGGAAGGGCAAGTTATTTAATCACAGCCATGGCTGCATCATTTCTGATTCATTTGTATCTTTCTGTTACAAATTAAAAATGTAAGAAAACCACTGTGTTTTTTGTTTGTTTTTCTAAATGTATACTTACTTATACATATTAGGGTCTGCAGAGATAACTTATTATAGTCTTATACTTACTTGTTGCTCCAAGTCTCCTTGTATCTCTAGCAATATAGTTTGCAAATATAATAGACCTCATACTTGTCTTTCCAGACCCACTCTTCCCCATCAATAACACCTGTAAATGATACATACACATGTATACTTTAGTATTTTTAATTTCTTCCATTGTTTTAACAAAGAGGTGGAGTACTGTATGTGACATGAACTTTGTTAAAGAGGTTTTACTTTACTGTACCATATTACATTGTATGGGCAAATAAGAATACATAAAATCTTAAATAAATTGTAATGTGCATGGTGATATTGATACATGTCAATGTATTAACAAAAGTCAGTAGACTTCTATTTCTATGTGAACTGAGATGGACTGCCTGCAGCTTTCTTAAATCTGTCTAGAGTAAGACAGCAAGCTGCTGTTGGTCTGTACAAGGCATTTTGTTGAAGCATTGTCAGGTTTTTCTGAGAAAAGAAACTTTAACTTTAAATTTAATCTAATTTACAATGTTTGAATCTATAAAATTCAATTTCCACAATTAGGATATCTGCCTCTGGACAGACTAAAAAGTAAACATGTGTAAAGTATTTGCCAGTCTCCAGGATTTGCCCCTCTGGACAGACCAGCAAATAATGGGAGAAACCTGTGATAGTACATCTTATAGCTTTTTTCACCTTTTAGCCATAACTCAGCCAAACAATTTTTCAACCAGAAAACCCATTGAATATGGGAAAGTACTTAATGTATCAACCAATCCTGTAAAGTTTCACTTGAATAACATTAGTACTATAAGTTGTCTGGACAAAAAAAGTTAAAGGGCCATAACTCTGACAAAAAAACATTGAATGATATGCAAAACTCATTTTAACTGATAATACTTAGTGCTGATCAATCCTGTAAAGTTTGGATAAAATTGCACTAGTAGTTTGTGAGAAGAAGTCCATACAAGTTTTGTGACAGATGGACAGACAGACAGATGGACAGACAGATGACTAAGAAGAGATCACTACAATGCTTGAGACTGAATCACTGATTTTCAAGCTTTTTTTTTAAACTTTAAAATGGAGGTATTTTAATGACAGCACATGATGGTGATATCACCTTCCAAAAAATAATAATAATTATTATATATTTTCTTCTTCTTCCAATACTGTACATAACCCACTCTGGGCCATTAACGTGCACTTTTTAAAAAAAAATCATGTCACTGTGTGTGACTGACTGGATAAGACCATATAATAGCAACTAAAGTGACGTGCGTAATACTTTACAATATTTTAGACGTAATAGGCCTATAAACAGTTTCTAATTCAATTTCATTTAGAATAACAAAATAAATTATGCTTTAAATCATTCCCATTTATCATGTTTCTTACCTTCTTCTTCATATTTTTGTGTTTCAGGACGATTTTAACAAACAAAATATGTTTTTTGCAGTAATAAGAAAAACGACACTAGTTTTCAGACATCCGCCATTTTGTTTGTCACATGACAAACAAGCTTAGGTTGAAGCCTACTATTTTAGAATAAAAAAATAATATAATTATGGTACATTACAAAAATTTCATATACTGGTTACCTGTCCAACTTAGCGTACCTACGTGAGTATTGTAGATAGTTTAGATGTATGAATTAGAATCTAGTTGGTTTTTATTTAATAGAAAATAACAACTTCAAAAAATAACAACTTAAAAATCATAAGATTTATATATAAAATGACATAGGCCTAAGACCCAGAGAAAGTGTCTTGCTGATATACACGTCAAGGTCTCTCAAATAAAAAAGCCCCTGGTTAAATGTAGAAGTCAAAAATTAGCAATTACGTCTTAACCATGTATTTAAAATTATTAATAAACAGTGTCGTTCATACATGAAAAAAAATAACCATCTTTTATAGTACGTGCAATTAAAGATCCTGTAACTTATTTTTTTATGGTTTTATATAAAATAAAAAAAAATATAATGCTCAAATAAAGATTTATCAATATTGTAAGTTCCAAAAAGCGTTATTTGTAAAGATATTAACAAATTTACATTTCATGTTAATAAAGGGAGGTAATTAGAAATCTATTTTCTATTAAGTCTAAGTCATTTTTTTTCAAAAAGAAATGAATGCATATATTTTAAAAATTACATATATTGTGGACAAATATTTGCAGTAGATCTACATATTTTACATATTCTTCGATGTTTGAAAATTGTTTTAGAAGCATAATTATATAGGCCTACATATATAAAATTTCACGTGTGGTAACAACCTTAATTACAATATACATGATCTTTAATGACTGGAATTCTTTGCATATCTATACATAATTTTTTTTACAAAAAAGGCCATTTTAAAAGCCCTGTAAAAAAACATTTACCAGAAAAGGCTGGGAACTCGTAATTATTTGCACTTGTTTGACTACATATATACATTGTATTAATGTTTGTTGCATTGTAATGCATATCCAAATGTGCTTGTGTCCAAGAAGCCTTCGGGCTTTCGTGGGCAATCTAAAGATATGCCCACTACTCCATATATGCATCTAAATAAAAGCTGTCCGGCGACAGCAAATAATTGCTAGAGTACAGAAACTAATTTGAAAATTTCTCATGAGGATTGCCCAGTTTCGGAATACATTGTGTATACGGAATTGCAAGCATTTCTGTTAAAGAAGTCAGGGATAGCTCACCAACTACTTTATCCATGAAACCTTGAACATAAAGTTATTTAATGAATATAATTTTGGTCCCAGATGAAACCTTCTTTTTTAGATTTCATTAATTAATTAATTTATTCATTTATTTAATTTTGAACAATAGCACGTAAATTGCGTGCTTACACATCACGAAACTAAATTCACAAAAAATACGTCGTACCAATTCTTACAGAAGGCCGTTTGATTGCACATGCGCAATGTATATGAAAAATATGGCGGAATCAAAACAATTTAACTTCTTTTGACAAAATCTACGTGATTGTGTCAATACATAGATTATTAAATGCGCGCAAAAATGAAAGAGATGGTAGGAGGTTGCTGCGTTTGTTCAGATGAGCGGGGTTGGGCCGAGAATCCGCTCGTCTATTGCGATGGACATGGGTGCAATGTTGCCGTCCATCAAGGTGAAAAATGCCTGACAGCTCAGTCACTGGTCCACAATCTACTTGAACATGATTAATTTCTCTTTTTTCTAGCCATAAAATTATCTTTTTTAAATCTTTTAACAAGTCTCAACTGTTGATTGTCCAGAATAAACATGTAGATAACTAACATATTTGAAAAATAAACTTAAGTCATTTGGGTCAGTGGCTGGCCTAGTCCTATAACATAAGATGTTTCCGTTCATACTACGTACACTCCAACGATACAAAACCTCTAGTAGAGTTCTGGCTTCCAAAACTTTATAAGCCCCTTTTTAATATTTTTGTTTTTCATCTGATGCGGCATTAAAGTTTTGGATAAGACCCATTACGAAACGTAACCAGAATAACATAAGTTGATTTAACCTTATTTTTCACTTGCAAATACACTTGACCCAATCAATTCTTGTGCATTTTATGATAAAACAATTATTTTAATATCGTTTTATACCAATTAAAGTATCAAAATATAAATACTGTCATTAAAATTGCCTATTTATAATTTAACTGTAAAACATGAATTACACCGACTATAGTCGGCCATGACATTTAGGTGCCACACGAGACTTGTATGACGTCATTTGTGGGAAACGATTAGAATAGAGTTGTGTAATATATGTAGAACATCTTTGTTGACATGATTTCGATATTTTTATTCAAGATAATGTTTTTATTTATTTTCATTAATAATTTTTTAGTATTTAAATATGATTTTATTGAATACAAAAGTCAGTAAATCACCTTTTTCAATATCTTTAAAAAGAATAATTTAGAAAAATATTGGAAGCACATGGGTTCATAAAGGTCAATCTCGTAATCACGTGGTCAAACTTTTTGGCAATATGGCAGCCAAGTGCCGAAATTTTTACCTGCCGGAAACTATTAGGTACCGGGTAGTTTATGTTCGTAACAAGATTTTTATTTGTCCATCCTTGGCTTATCAACAGATTATATATAGTTTTATCAAGGTATGCTTCACTTTACTTCATGGCATGTTCGATGAATGAATACGAGTGTGTCAGATTCCTGGCACGAGTATTTGTTGACTTTCCCTACGGGGTTGTCTTCAGCGTTCACGTCATGTCATAGTATATAAACGGGTACCCTGAAGACTTTAAGCTAAACCTCTAGCTGAGTCTATCCATCTTACGATTCCAGTAATTTCAAACCCCTTGCAGTCTGTCTGCCAATAATGTTGAACCACACTCAGAGAGTTAGGCAATCACGTACAAGCAGATGACAGTTTAGGATAATGACAATACATGTGGATCTTAAGGACTATTGCATATTTATTGCATATATTATTATTTAAATTTATGGGTTTTGATAAGCATTTTAAAAAAATCAGTTGCATATTTTGTAAAATGAATGGCGTAAATAAATGAATGGCGTAAATAGGCTACTTATCTGCGCTGAGCATAGCAGGGTTTTTTTCCAGTATTTTGGGAACATGACCCATACCCTTGAGATTGGGATTTTTAGCGGCATTTTGCCAAAAATTGGGAAAAAAACAAAACATTTTCAAGTTTCCTGTGGCAAAAATATTATATTCCTTGTCTAATAGGATTTAGTTCACTAAAGCAGTCTTCGAAATTAACGCCAGTTCGAGGCCACTAAATTCAGCATCGATCCGGTGATTATTGCAAGGTTGGTGGTCCGATGGTCCAGTAGATTTTTTGTCATGAAAAATTATTATAAGAAAAATTCATCAAAATAATAAAGCAGGGTTCTCTAAAAGATTGATCTTTTTGCCTTTTTTGCAAATAAAACCCATCAGTTCTGTCCTTAATGTTCAAAACACTGCAAAAGATGTCTAAATTGTATTGAGTAATGGAGGCCGCCATTTATTTTTCTTGGATATTTTCCGTACCGCACCGTACAATTACGGAAATTAAACCATTGTTTATTAAGGTCATTATTTAGCTATGATTTTGTGATTATTGAGTTAAAGTAAATATTTTGTGTGAAAGTGATTTGTTTGAAGAAAATTGCGTTGTTCATGTTCAATTCTAGTCAATTTTTGCCTGAACATTTGGTCCTTAATGATTTTTCAAAGCCCAGAATACAAGATGTATTATGCTTCTTTCAAAATTCAAGAAAAACAATAAAAGTGGAACAAACAATCAACACAGGATAAGTTTTAAGGTTTATTTAATGATGATAACCAACGTTTCAACTCTCATGAGTCTTCATCAGGGTTATAAAATCAGTCTTTCAAAATTATCAAGGGAAGCATGATAAAGTGTTTTCCTGTACCCATCAATTTATTACCTATCTATGTATTTGGTCCGGCTAAAAATCACCAGGTCCAGTAAGATTTGATATTTTACTGGCCCGAATGTCCTGTGCTTTTTTGAGCTTTTCGTGAAGACTGCTAAAGTAGGTCTCTGGTTTTCATATTTTTAAACTGTGTTATTGTATAACCTGTAGTGTACCATTCATGAAGATGTTTTCATCTGTAGCTGAAAAAAGCTTGCACAATTTGCAACGATACCCAACTTTTGCACCACTATAATACAACAATTCATACTTCAACTCATATTTTTTGGAACTAAATAACCTTTGATCAGTGACAAGGACAACTGTATCTGACTTAGACTTGTCGCTAGAACTTTTAAAACCCCCAAGAAGAAACATCATAATTGTGGTAACTCACGGTCGCCGTTGAAGGCAATTTCTCACTAGTACTTGCAGTTTCATTTGCCGTTACTGTTTCCGAAGTACAACTCTTTTCCAAGAGCGTCCCTTGCTTAAACATTAAATCAATTTTTCTGTCTTTATCAGTGCTTTTTTAAGTTTTATAACGTAATATTTTGAATTGTGATACATTTTGATCTACTTTCACTTTTGAAGGTCGTCGATATCGTTAGACGCTCGATAAACTTATACTGAGAAATCAAGCGTCTACTAACACATGGGTTGTTTAGACGCCGGCTATTCACACAATTTTACGTTCCCCAAAGATCGATTTTTAAATTATTTTTTTTAAGTTTTCGATTGGGAATTTTTGTATCAAAATTGGGAAAAAAACATACTATTTTCAATTTGGAATATGGCCGAATAACGGCTATAAAATCGGCCAAAAAAAAACCCTGCATAGTATTAATATAGTAGCATGCACACACTCATTTAGTACTAGAGGAAGACTATTAAATATTATCCAAACCAAAGGTGCTAGTGGCATTGATTTGACCTAAAACGTGTTTAACCTTGTTATTTATGCAATAAATATATTTTTTTTACTGTAATATTTTTATAGACAAGGTATGCAACACCAGAGTACGAAATTGATAGGTATGTCAGTTCTCGGTGTAAAATTTTTCTACAGGGTGCTAATCTCGTCGAATTTTCGCATGTAATTAATGCAATATATATCATTATCAGGGATATTTATAAGGATTTTGGGAACATGACCCATACCCATGAAATTGGGAATTTTAATTTCAGCAGTGTTTTGTTAAAACTTGGGTAAAATGCATGGCTGAAATTTTACAGTGATTAAATGGATACAAACAATTACTGTCTATGATGGCATCTTCAAACATTTAAGCACTATTACAGTGAAGGAGCCCTAATTTTCGGATTTTTTATTCAATAATTTTATTTTGTAACTTTCAATTGGGAATTATTTCCTGTGGATTGGGAAAATTATATACTATTAAAAGTATTTTCAATTGGGAATATGACCCAATATCGGCTATAAAATAAGCCCAAAAAAATCCCTGTATATTTTTCTATCAAAACTAACTATGAACAGATCTTTACTTACACGCAAACTACTGCAGTAAAGCCCGAAAGTCAGAAATCACCCAGGTTCGAAAGATGAGACCGTCATGACATGTACATTGTAGCCTTGTATTTACACTTGAAATGCATCAACAAAAAGATCAAATGAGTCCAACACATGCAAACAACTGGATTTTACATACTTTTAAATGGTTATATCAGTCAATGCTAAAGTCAAAAAAAAATTCCAGCCACAAGGACTGGGATCCTTAGATTTATTTCCGGCCCTGATGATTTTTTCCCGGCCCGGACTCTGAAAGGTATTTTTTGTAGGGGTGGGGGAAGGATACTGCCATAATTATAAACACAAATATTTAGCAAATATAAATTATCAGACTCAACTATAAGATACTATGAAAAAAATATACAGAAACATAATAAATAAAATAAAACATTAATTAGCATAATTCAAAAGAAAACGATACATTTTTCAAAGATTTAATTTTGAAGATTGGAAAGAATATATGTTTCATGGTAAGGCAAGATGGTGGCTTACATTACAGTACTTAGCAAAAACTGGTCGTATCCTGCAGTGATTTTGTTATCTGGGTCTGTGAATACAAGCAAAAATGCAAAAAAAAGATCAATCTTGGAAGTTTTGCATATTTTAGAAGGCGAAACATTGTTTCAAACTGGCTGAAATGTTATTTGGACATGAGGACTGACTGTATCAAAATTTCTCTCGGCCCTCCTGATTTTTAGTTGGCCAGGTCCGAGGACCGAAAGACTTTCGCACTGACTGGTTATATCCTCCACGAATGGCACTAAGTCCTATGCTATGTGCCTGTATTTAAAGAAATATTCTACATGTAGACAATATTTTTAGAAGGTAATTCCTACCGGAAGTATTTTCTGGCTTCCGTTTCACATACATTTACATAGAGCGGAACCGGGAACCATGCACATGTTGCGGAGAACACTTCCGATTTAGGAATTACCGTCTACATGTAGATTTTTTTCTTTAAATAAGTTGAACTTGTTTATCAATATAAAGAAATGCAAAGTGTTTTTTTTTTACATATTGTACACCTTATGTTTTTCAGAATTTGCATTTTACCCCTCGCTCTAGATTTTGAGGGGTAAAAACCCCTTGACCAAAAAAAATATCTGGAGCTCTGTAATATGTGTGGGTTAGTGCTTTAAATAAAAGACAATCGTCCCAGGTGATAATTACCCAATTAAATTTTGAAACATTGAGTAAGAATTGCATTTATAATCAGATGAATATTTGAAATATCAAATAGGGTGGTATTACCCATTTACACGTGAAAGCTTATCTGGAGCTATTTATAAAACTTCTCAATTCACTTACATACATGTACAAATATTTTTGCACTGTAAATATAACATTTTCTCATCATGAATGTAAAAAATCTATGTTCTGAAATTTTTCAGCCTGTTATGGAATCATTCAGGTACCAACAGGACCTTGGTTTTGTAGAAAGTGTGAATCACAAGAGAGAGCTGCTCGTGTTGTAAGTTATTCAGGGTTAGGGTTAGATACCACAAATTACATTTAAATGATCACACCTTGTCACTTAATATGCTTATTAATTGATATGTTTTTTCTCACATTTGATATTAAAACATTATTAAAGTCCTTCTCTGAAATTCAAAGTAAGCAGAGTCATGGTAGCAACTTTGGTTTACATAATTATGAAAGAAATAAATAGTAGATGTAATATCTTATGAGCATAGTTAACTTTTTAGATATATATGCATACAATATGAATGTCACAAATATAATTAAGTTTTTCTTTTCTTTTTCAGAGATGTGAGCTGTGTCCCTTAAAGGATGGTGCTTTAAAAAGGACAGATAGTGGAGGTATATTTCTTTTTTACAATAAAAAAGTAAATTTAAGAGTGATTTTCTAGTTGAAATGCTCAGAGTTTATTAATTTTTTAGCTTGACTATTCGAAGAATATGAGAGCTATTGTAGTCGCCCCGGCGTCAGCGTCCGCGTCAGCGTTGGTTAAAGTTTTTTGTAAAGTCAATTTTCTCAATTATTACTTGAGATATTTAATTGAAACTTACAATACTTATTTATAGTAACAAGCTACATCAGATTGACAAGTTGGATAACTCTGCCTACAATATTGACAGAATTATTCCCCTTTTTAACTTAGAAATTTTGGTTAAAGTTTTTTGTAAAGTCAAATATCTCAATTATTGCTTGAGATATTCAATTGAAATTTAAAATACTTTTTTATAGTAACAATGTACATTTGTTTGCAAAATTGCATAACCCTGCCTGTAATATTTACAGAATTATTTGCCCCTTTGAAACTTAGAAAGTTTGGTTAAAGGTCTTCAAATATATTTACTTGAAACTTTACACATGCACTTAGGGTCATAATTTGAGGGTCATAATTGTATGTCACTGACCAAGTTCCATAACTCTATCTTGCATTAAGGCTGATTCATATCCCCTTTTCTACTTAGTCTCTTGGTTAATGTTTACATGCAAGTTTTACATATCTCAGTAACTATTAAAGATATTTATTTAAAACTTCACATATGCATTTAGGGTCATAATTGTTGGTCACTGACAAAGATCCATAATTCTATCTTGCATTAAGGCTGATTTTTCTCCCCTTTTTCAACTTAGAAATTCATGGTAAAGTTTTGCTTGTAAGCTGTTATCTCAATAACTACTGAAGGGTTTGTGCCTTTTTTGGGACAATTTTATGCATTCATAATAATAAAGCAGTTATTTACTTGATAAACATCTTAATAACAAGCCTTTGTACCTTTTCTGTCAAATTTATGTATTCATAGGTAATTAGTATTATTATACTCAATAAAACACCCTCGTGACATTACCTTCCGAATAGTCAAGCCAATACTGTATAATTAGACTCTCTCTAAGGCCTATAACATGAATTTATAAAAAAAAGTTTGTGAACTTAAAAAATTAGACATTATCAAGGCTCTTTTACTATCAAGCACTTAAAATAGTCGAGCGTGCTGTCCTACCGACAGCTCTTGTTATTTATCTATATTCTTTTGAGAAAAATTAAAAACAAAATGCTTTTCAGTACCTTTGCCAATCTTGGTGTTGCTGCAGTTTTGAAAAGTTTCATAATGAGATTTTTCTGTCTCAATTTGGCTTTCTTTGTTTTATAAGTTAAAATATATGAAGAAAATATCTGGTTTTCTAGATCATTATAAAGTTGACTCTAGTTTATGCAAAAAAAGTGTTTTGTTTATCACAAAGATCAGGTTTGATTCATGCATCTTGTACTGTTACTGTCCTGAAAGTATTTGTTTTTAAAAAACTGATTTCACAGCATTTAGCAGTGATTAACTTGTAATACAGGAGATATGTTAATCATATATTTTAGGATGGTGTCATGTTGTATGTGCTTTATTTATTCCGGAGGCCTGGTTTGCTAATGTACAGACTATGGAACCTATAATGCTAAAAAATGTTCCGCCAGACAGATTTAATAGGGTAAGCATTGTTTTAACTTTTGACTTGCTGGAATTAAAAGTGAGAAGCCTTTGCCACACCAGCCTGACCAGGCTTAATACTTTTGTTAGCTCAATGTTTCAGCTTGTCTGTTTTAAAGGAAAAGTCAAGCTATATTGTTCAATGCATTATTGTTGTTGTTGTGCAAAAAATCAATCTAGCCCATTACTCAAACAATTTAAAGATATCAGTTTGAAATTTGGAATACTTGCTTATCATGACAAGTGGTAATTATAAGACAAGGGGCATAATTCTGAAAGCTTTATTTTTGGAGTTACTGCCCCTTTTTAACTTTCAATTTTTGTCAAAAGTGGTTATTTAAAAAGACAAGTGTTAACACTGCATGCGGTGCTCTTGTTATATTTTGATATTGAAATCATGTAGACTTTTAATGGACTGTAACAAATTTAAAGCAGGGCAAATCTGTGACACAGATTCAGCAGATTAAGGGTTAAATAAGAATTTAAGAAAATTTTAACCGTTTACGAAAACAGCATGAAAATGCAAACTTAAAATCTATTTCAGCAGAATGTTTTCAATAACAAAGTGACCATTAAGCTTGTTCGCTAAACAGCGTGTGATATTTGTAAATTATTGTGTGTTTCAGTTTCCAATTATACACTGAAGTTGTATCAAATATGTAATTTTTCCTGTTTTGTCAAATTTAAGGTATTTCCTAGAGCAGGAATCCAAGAATTCCAAGCCACTGTTTCAAAGTTTTAAATTTGATACAGTTATGAAAATGTAAATATATAATAAAGCTGTTGGTGCATGCATGAAATACCACTGACCATATTAAACAGATCTTGTATGTAAAATAAACAAAAACACCTTTTATTAAAACTGTACAGACCTCACATGGATTTGACCATTAAATTGTCAGAAACAAGTGATGATTTTTTCTGTATATTTCTCTAGTATAAGTGGTACACTATTTTATTACAGATGTGTTATATATGTGAAGAGCTAGGGAAAGAAGTTTCAAAGGCCTCTACAGGGGCTTGTATGCAGTGCAATAGAAATGGATGTAAACTTAATTTTCATGTTACATGGTAAGCATAAATTAATTATCTACAAATCTCATAATCTGGTATAAATTAATCTCAAATTTAACTTAACAAAAATAAGGTATTTTAATGATAAATTTACATGGCATACCAATGTCTTGGTAAGTGTCCTATTATTTTTAATGGCATTGTCATACTGACACAAACAATCTTATGGTAATTAATATAAATATTCTCTTGCATTTCAACACTCTTTTTCCCTTCTTCCATTTTCATACTGCAAGAAATTAACCCGTTCTTAGGCCCAACAATCCATGGTTTTACCATGTTATCTCCTTTTTTATGTGCAAAAACATTATTTCTTCATTATCCCTCTATCTTTAACACAAGTGTTCCGTTTTTATGCAGAAACTAACCCTTCTAAGACCCAACAATTCTTTGTTATACAATGTAATCTCCCTTTCTATGCCCAAAACATTCTTTCTTCATTATCTCTCTCATAAACACAAGAATTCCATTTTTATACAAAAACTACATCCCTTTACATAAAGTTTTGCCATCAGTGTTTCCTCTTCATTATATACTTACAGCCAGCCTTTAATATTTGAATGATATAACCTGACTTTATAAACCTTCTTTTTAGTGCCCAAGCAAATGGGTTTTTGTGTGAAGAGTCTGGTAGTTATGGTGACAATGTGAAGTATTGTGGTTATTGCAGCCATCATTATAAGAAACTGGTGAGTTACGAACATCTGATTTTACATTAATTACATTAATTTGTGAAGTAACTATGAGATTTAGTTAGGACGGGACTACTCTTTTGACCAAGAACTTATGAAAGTCAGCGGATGAACGCATGATTTGAGATTTTAACTTTTACTGGATCAGGAAGGTTAGTCAGTTGTGTTGCAATATTTATCTTCTTTAGAGACAAATACATCTGAGAAAGAGAAATATGTGTATGCTATGACAATAAAAGTCTAGATTTACCAATAAGAACTAATATTTGAATATAAACCTATAAACCACTAAAACCAAAAAGTGATGAGCCTTTGCCACCAATGTAGAGCCAGGCTTGCCTGCAGTTTCACAGAGTCAGAGCATGCTCTATAACTATTGGCATACTTTGTTAATGAAATCCCATAGAATTCTAATAAACTGTTCCAAGTTAATAGCAAGGCCATCTATTACACAAAGCATGTTAAAGGTTAAATTACAAAGATCATAAATTATATTATTCATAATGATTACTTGGAATTAATCATTTTAATGGGTCATTTGATGAAATTATATAACTTAAAAGGTAAGCATGACGATTTTTACCAAATACAATGGCATATTAAGGAGCCAAACTTTAACTAAACTTGTCTGTCAGTGTCTGAAATGTGTTTGAAAGGAATTTGTCTTTGGATTTCAGAAAAAAGATTCCAACATAAAGACCATTCCAGCATTTAAACCTATCCCAGCTGATAATGCTACCCCAGACTCTACGCCAGAGAAAATGAATAGTGTAAGTTGTTGACTAAATATGATATTACCTTTTATTATCCCTACAAATTATAATTTATAACATTTTTGTAAGGTGTCCTTTTCCACTATCTTTTCTACAGGGTTCATACAGTCTTAAAAACTTAAAGTGCTTAAATTTGAGTCCCTTTCTTAAAAAATGCTTGAAATTAAAAAAAAAGTGATTTAAAGTCCTTGAATTTTATTATTCTCTTGAAAAAGGCTTAGAAAGTGCTTAAATTTGCTGCAAATATGCTTGAAAATGATTGAAGGACATAGTGTCGGTAAAAGTCGACAGTTAACTAAAACAAAAACGGTCCAGTTTAGTACTAAAATCAATGAAATATTTGTTCAGTGGTAACAAAGGGGAAGAATTGGTTTGGGTACAAATAAACATAGTTGTGCCTCTTTTTTGTTCTTTTATAGAAACCGTAATATGGAGACTAGAAAATATAACAATCTATAAAATGAGGGTAGATATGGTATATAAGGTTAATGATTATAGTTGCTAGTCATATTACTGATATTTGTTACACTATGTATGTATGTAAAGAGAGTAGATGAGCAGTGATAATAGTTGAATTTGCTGGTCATACTAGAATATTGTAGTGAATACATGAATACATATATTAAATCACATATTGTACAGTGCATGTTATTAACCACAAGAATAAAGTTTTCAATGTTTTATAACTGTTTTAAAGTTACTTTTTCATTCCTTACAAATGATATATTTGCAACAAATTTTGATTGAAATATGGGAAAACATGCTTTAAAATGCTTAAATAGTGCTTGAATTTTGCATTGTATGTCTGTACGAACCCTGTAATCTACAATGATTATATATTGATGAATTCAGTCTGGTCATGTTATTCTGTCAAGATATTAACATTCTATGGCATGTGCTTAGAATTGGCTGTTACTGGTAGAAAAGATTGAAACATTTAAGTATGTTTACTAAAAACATAAGCACTTACATTGGTAATGTCCTGTGGGTATGTGACTCACAACTTGCCTTTCACAGCTGTAAATTTGAATCCTGGCAGGGAGTTTGGATTCTTTCATGTGAGGAAGCTATCCAGCTAGCTTACAGAATGTTGGTGATTCTAATCAGGTGCCCTGTTGTGCTTGAAATAATAATGCACAAAGGGGCACCTGAGCTCTTCTGCAAGTAAAGCTGGAAAGTCACAATATGATCTCTACTATGTTGGTGCAATGTAAACCCAACCCCGCAAAAATGTTTATGACTAAAATATGATAAACTACAATAGTCAAGTACTGTCGAATATCATTATGAAAAAATAATATTGATTAAAACAGATTTGTGAACTAATAATGTAATTATTCATTATAACAGGACATAAAGATCAATATATCAGCAGAACACAAGAACAGGGAATCATTGGCTGCTCGACAGTTGTCGGGTTTGTCAGGACCCCCGTTTGATCCAAAGGGCAGAGACTACAATATGTCTATGAGGTCATATCATCATAAAGGTCAGCCACCACAAGTACAGACTGTCAACAAAACAAATACTGAGACAAAATCAAAAGGTATATTATATAGACCTTGGCTAAGTATCAGGAATGCTAAGAAATAGGTTTTGAATAAGGAACTATCCAGCTAGCTGATGGCAGACTGGCTGCTGTATTTGATTGCCCAATCTCTGGTTATATATCACTTCTATTGGGAAATTAACCCTTACCATGCTAAAGATCTTAAATGGACTTGTCAATCTTTCAATATGGAAAAGACCATTCAACATTTAAAGAAAACATTTCAAAATGTGTACAAACTGAATAGGAAACAGTGTAGGCCACGATGAGAGGGTATGAATGTTCAAGCTGATCTTGGTCTGCACTGGTCTCATGAGTAGATTATGTAGCCACCTACAGACTTAGGGCATTAATGCTTTAATGTTTTGTAATAGATGTTTGTAAATCCAGAAGTTTTGTCAACCTACCATTTACCAAATGAATGTTAGACACAAAAATGTTTAATATATTCAAACTACAAGTGTATTGCTTTGGGTTTAAAGTCTAAAATGAAGTTTATAATTTTGGGAAAATGAGATAAGTGAGATTTTGTTCCGATTTGTCAATTTACAGATAAAACAAGTGATAAATCATCAACATCATCATCGGCTACAGAGACCCCTACATCATCATCCTCATCATTGACACCAGGAACAGTAACTGAGCCTAAACCAGTCACAGAGACTGGCAAGTTATTCTCTCCCTTACCTGAAGGTCAAGTTACACTTCCATTACCTGTCACCACTCATGTAAGTAAAAATATGTATTTTTTCTTTGTAACTTATGTAACTGAATAACAAAGAATTATTTAGCTTTTGTTTATTCACCTTAGCTTGATTTTTAGCTCGACTTTTCTATGAAAAGGGGAGCTATCCTACTCGCCCCGGCGTCGGCGTCGGCGTTGGCGTCACACCTTGGTTAAGTTTTTCGTACCACCCCACTTTATTTCAGAAGTATTACAAGTATGGCTTTGAAACTTACCATACTTGTTCACCATCATAACCTCCATCTACAGACAAGAGTACATAACTCTGTCAAGGTTTTTGACAGAATTATGGCCCTTTTTTGACTTAGAAAGTGTATTGAGCTTGGTTAAGTTTTTGTACCACCTCACTTTATTTCAAAACCATTGGAGGTATTGCTTTGAAACTGACCATACTTGTTTACCATCACGACCTTCATCAACAGACAAGAGGACATAACTCTGTCAAGGTTTTTTGACAGAATTATGCCCCTTTTTGACTTAGAAAATACATTGAATATGGGTAAAATCCACTTATTGCCTTAACCCTTTTAGATATTGCTTTGAAACTTTTAATGCTATTTCACATCATTACCCCCATCTGTACGCAAGAGAAGGTAACTCTGTCAAGGATTTGTTTTAAAAATTAAGGCCTTTTATCGACTTAGAATCTTGGTTAAGTTTTTAGTACCAGTCCACTTTTTGACTGAACTGTTTGAGATATTAATTTGAAAGTTGGAATACTTGTTTACAATCATGATTCCCAAACATGTCCAGGAGAAGGTAATTCTGTCAAAGATTTTATTTGAATTATGGCCCTTAACTGTCAATGTTTTGTATTATAGGCAAGCACTAAAAAACTTAAAAAATCTAAAAAAATTCAGTAAAATAATTCTTCACTAAATATCTTAATGCTCATGGCCATTGTTCACTTTAAAAATACAGAGATTCTTGTATTGCCTTTTACTGCAAAAACTTTTTTTATTGGCAAGCAATAAAAAAGTCGAGCGCGCTGTCTTACGGACAGCTCTTGTATATAATTTAGTTTGTTTTTTGCCTTCATAATATGGTTTTATCAAATTTAGATTCATTTAATGATAGCTTTAATGTATTTTTTTACCCAAGGTTTCTTGACCTAACCAGTTTTGGTTCAGGGTTTGAAACTAGGGTCAAAAATTCATTATCCTTTGGCTGAAAAAAAAGGAAATTATAATTACTGATCCCCATAGTTATAGACCTTTCTAAGCCACTGGTTAACCTTAAAAATGTGGATATTTACTATACACAGTGCTGTATGTAAACTTCATCTAGTGGCTGTCTGCTGGATAATTTACTACTGACTTTTTTTGGTAAACCATGATATATATAAAATGCTTAAAATTCACTCAGAGTTAATTGGTCTCAAATTCCAGAGGCTACTTCAAAATGTTAGTTTGTTGTTTCTATATAATTTAAAGGTATTCAGAATGCTTAAAATTCCAGTACAAAATTGATAGGAATTGACCATATTATAGTATATTGTACATGTTGTTTTCTTGTTTTTAGGTAGCATTCCCAACTTCCCTAGATGGTATGATATCCAGTATGGTGAATAGCACCACCCCAACACCTACCACTGATACTGAAAGTATGACTGTAGGTAGACCTAGAAAATCCAGAGCAGGGTAGGTGAACATTGTTTCTAGTGCTTGTTGACTGTAGAATGGATCTAAGCAAGAAGAAAACTGCATCTATTAAAAATTTCCTGTATACGATACAAACACTTAATACAATGATATGTTTAAAATATGTTAATTAAGGATAGCTGCAAAAATGTCCAAATGAATGGAAAATCACCGTAGACAGGAAAAAACTTTATTTAAACATTGTTGTTTACAGCTGTCAGTTCTTATAATTTCAGTTCTCTAGATAAGGATAAGAAATCCCGCCGTGGCAAGGCTAGCTTGTCAGCTCGACATCGAGCAATGAAATCTTCATTAAGTGAGGATAATGAGGAGGTGTCGCCACCTACAAACAAACGTACACGGAAGAAATCTGAGAGTACTCCTACCATTTCTGTCTCCACATCGTCCACAATTGTCTCTGTTTCATCTATACCATCCACAACAACTGCAACACCTCTCGGGTAATTACTTTAATAACATCTTTATGGCCACAACATCGACAAGTTTAAGGACAAATAATATTTAATATATACCCAGTACTGTATATGCCTAACACATATGTAATGATTGGAATGGGAAGTGTAAGGTATATAGATTTGCCTTTGACCATCAATAGACTGCCAAACCAGTGGAATGTGAGGGCTTCTAGGTCACGGACATTTCTAGTGTCTTACTTTTTCTAGTGTCTTACTTTGTAATGTTTTACTTTTCATTTATGTAACATCAATCGAAGTAAAATACTGATATAATAATAAGGCAATATCAAGGAAATGTATACCGTTTCTTGTTAAAATGTTCTTTTAAAATAGAGTGAAATTTGAAGTTAAAAGTTAAATATCCTTGTGACCTGTTTTATGTCAAGTAGACATTGCAAGTGTTACTAAAATTATTACAACCTGTCATAGTCTGTTTTCAGAAATAACAAATTGCTTGACATATAAATATGTAAATTTAAAATTAATTCTTTTCCTTCCAGACCTCAGAATCTTAATGTATTTGGCGGGGAACCACATTTCCCGAATCCTATTTCCAGAACACCTTTCTCTCACAGTAAGTTTTACTTTCTGTAAACTTATCATCAGACTGATAGAATTTTGTGACTTATATTGTAATGTGGGGGAGTGGGGGCTGAAATTTTACTTTGACTTGGCTGTTGTCAAGTCATCACTAGACTCGATACAGCAGTTGTTCTAGGGCATCGTTGCAAATGATTTGTGCAGTACAAGTTCAAGCTTCAAAAGGTTTCATTAAAGTTTTAAATTGTATAAAAGAGCACTTTCAGAATAAAATTCACTCAAGTGGCTGGAACTGAGTTAAAGTAGAGAGAATAACCGTCTTCTGTAAATTAATTGGGCCAAATTTTGTTTGCAGACATATTCTTAACAAACTTTAGTTAAGATTTGGCATGTGCTAATAATAGGCCTGTTCTTGTGCATATACATATATATAACTTAAGTTTTAGCGATTATCTTCCCTCAGACAATATTTTGTAAATTGGAAAACATTAATATGGTGTTGTTACACCATAAGATATGCTCTTAGATATTTCTTTTGTAACTACATAATTATAATATTTTATTTTCCTCTTGCAGCTGAGACTGGTACATTGGTTTCTCATTTACCTAAGATGGAGACTAGTATAACTGAGGGAACCAGTCAGGTCTCGCCCCTCCTCCCTACAGGTTGGTGTCTTGGAATGTTTTTTTTAATTCGTTCTTAAGATATATTGTATTATATGTGTCTTCTAAATAGATAGATAACATTTATTGGTCTGTACAGCTGAATTGCAAGTGAAAATAAGAAATTGAATAGCTATGAAAGCAGTACAGTAGATTTTATAGATGCAAATTTAGAAAATGATCATTAAACAAAAATCAGTAATTTAGGATCATCGTTTCTAGATCTTTCAATCTGGATAAGTAAATAAAAACATCAAGGCCATTACCCCATTATTTCTTATTTTATAAAAGCAGTACTCTCTGTAGATTTTTCAGATGCATATGTTCTTTACAAGAAGGCTAATTTGTAGGTAGCAATACCCAAAATTGTAAGATGCAAAATTTTGAGGCTATGTCAGGGAAAAAATCTGTTCAAAGTAATAAATAGTAAAGAATTTTTTCTTGTTTGGGAAAGATAATTGAGCTGTAGTAAATATAGTAAAATTAACATTTATATGGTTATTTATTTATTTATTTTAGGTTTAGTAGGGACAGAGAAGATAACAAATGGTCCACTAGTAGGTCCACCTAAACCTTTTACCTCCTCATCTTTACTTGCTACTGGCTCTAAATCTAGGTAACTATATCTATTTATTGAAGTTTTATTTTGTTGTACGCTGTTTAACACATTTAGTTGTTAAAAACATTTAAGCTTGTTATTTATAGCAATTTAGTTATTTGATTGTTAACAGCTGTTATTCCCCATTGATTGTTAACATTGATAATGACTGTAAAATAATTTATGTATAGTCATAAAAATAGTCCAAAGTATCTATAATAAAGAAATAAACCTTGTAAAGTTCTGTGAAAAGGTGCATCATTTTGTTATGTTTTGAATATTTTGTTTAGGAATAATCTTATATTCTGGTTACTCATAATATTCACAATTATAAAATTCAGTAAAAATTGATCATAAGAGTAAATAAATACACATAATCCAAGAAATTTATAGTGTACCTCCCCAGTTATAGCTGAAGTAGATTTTCATGTTATCACACTACAGTATGGTAATGATTTTGTTTCTCCAGTGAGACACCAGGTAGTATGGAGGAGCTTTTAGAACGACAGTGGGAACAGGGCTCCAACTTCCTTATGGAACAAGGGCAGCATTTTGACAGTATGTACATTTTTACTTAAAATCTTTTTAAGTTATCTAATCTCAGTCCCCAAAAGACTGAACATTGTGAAATGATGTTTAATATCATATTACAAGTTATGCTAATATTTTTCAATAACAAAAAAATGGATTATTTTTTTGGAGTGAATTATATTGCTTTTCATGATAATTTTATTTGGATATGTTTAGTTAATGATTGTAATAAGTTATAACAAGCAAGTAGCCCATAAATTGTTAAGAACATAACCATGTTAAATGATTTATTGAGGAGAGAATGTTTTGTTTGTTTAAAATATAAGAGCAAAATTTAGCAAGTTTGCCTACCTTAATATAATAGGCAATGTATGGGTATACAGTATAATAATAGATGAAGAGCATTCATTGTGTGCAATACATGAATTATTCAATACCTGAAAGCATTATATATTTAAATTATTAAACTTCACTGTCTTATTACAGTTGCATCATTACTGAATTGTCTACATCAGTTAAAAACTGAGAATACACGTTTAGAGGAGTATGTACGGAACCTGATGTCTCGCCGCGACCACTTGCTAGCAGTAAATGCTCGGCTGTCTCTACCTTTCAACCAGAATCCAAACCCTGCAGGAGTCCAGGGTGATAGCATGGATGTTCCTGGGAGAGGGGAGGTTACTCCCAATCATTTAGAACCAAAGATTGATAATATTTCAGATGACGAGGGAAGCCCGATAAATGTCGTGGTATGTTTTACCTTTGTAACATATTAATTAAGCCGTGCCATGACAAAACCAACATAGTCCGTTTGCGACCAGCATGGATCAAGACCAGTCTGCGCATCCGCGCAGTCTGATCAGGATCCATGCTGTTTGCTATCATTTTCTCTACTTGTAATAGGGTTGGTAAGCGAACAGCATGGATCCTGATCAGACTGCGCAGATGCGCAGCTGGTCTGAATCCATGCTGGTCGCAAACGCAATATGTTGGTTTTGTCATGGCATGGCTCAATTATTTACTTAATAACGAAACTTTATGATAAATGATATTGAAAATTTAAAAAAGAAAAAGATATTTAAATGGAAAAAACGATTCTTAACATGTGTTTTCCAGTAATTCAATCAATTTTGAGATAGATGAAATAAATTTGGCCGTTAAGCTAGGTGAATGAGTGTAAACAACTTCTTCTATGAACAAATTCTACATTTCTTAATGGAATTAAAACAAATTGTCACTGAATATTTGAAGTCGAGTATCTTGGCACATATTTTCAAGATTTTGTGAATTGACTCAACCTTCGAAATTTTGTATAAAAAGAGTGGTAACTCAAGTGTATAAAATGTTAGAATATTGTTACAGGATACACCAGGAGACGGTACATGTAGAAACAGCCCTGTGGTTGGTGTAGGTCAGGGTGGACATGACGCAGCATTACGTAATCAACTCTTCTCATCACAGACTGGTGTAATGCCACAGGTATATACATGTATATCATGTAATTAACATGGAAATTGATTAACGTCATTCTGTATACTTGCAAAGTTAGGCTTGTGCCTATTGGATACAATAGAGTCAATTGATACATCATGAAATACAAGGCCAGATCCAAAATTAATCAGAAACAAGAGCACTGATTTATTAACAAGTATTCATTATTGTATATATATATATATCATAACATGTATATTAGTTATTTACTAATTGCTTTATTTCTTTTTGGTTTTGCTAGTTGATTTATTTATGTATTTGATTCATTTGTTAGCTCGACTATTTAAGAGTCTGAAGAGCTATTGTAGTTGCATCACCTTCACGCAATAACTATTTGCATGTAAATTGGTATCTATGGAATGTGTTTAAACTTCACACATTTATTTGAAAGCATAAGAGGAGGTCTCTGTCTAATACTCGTAACTTTAACATGGAATTGACAGAGTTATGGCCCTTTTTTGAACATAGAAAATGCTAAAAAGCTGAAATGGCAGCCAGAGAGTGGAAATTTGTCTCAATGGTTATTCTACATTAATCAAGCTGTTGGTTTACTATCAAGCACGGAGATTAGTTTAGCATGATTTCTTACTGTCAGCTCTTGTTTTTTTACTTATTGATTGATTGTTTATTTATTAATGTAGTATATATTTCAGAATACAAATGAACAGCTGACAAACTCTACCTCTACTAACGGCTCATCTGTGAAAGATCCGACAGCCAAGGATAAAACTTGAACTCATCTTGTGCCATCATATGTTCTATATATAAATATATCGAAACTTTTTGTGTGTTCCTACATGGAAGCAATATGGAGTCAACGATAGGCAATACTTGTACAACTGAAGACAAGTTATGTGTCACATGGTATCATTTTGAATGATTTACTGTGAATTCAACTTGCTGAATTTGTGTAATTGATTTACCCTGCTTATAATGAGAAACAGTCCATTTGAAGCTAAAGGGATTTCAGTATCAAACACAAAAATTGAGCTACCATCAGTATAGAGCCAGTTCAAAACTTCATGGATTAACTGGCTGGCCTGGCTCTATACTGGTGGCAAAGGCTGATCATGTTCCAGTCTGTTAAGGGTTTGAGAATAACTTATTATTTATGCTCCTGAAAAAAGAAATTTTAGTCACAAGTTTGACCTGCCCTCCTTCACATTGGCATACTGCTCTTCACTTCAATTACTTACAGATATATCTGAGATGTTCTTTTCCCTTGCACAAGAATTGAGGTCAAGCAGATGTCACAGTCAATGAGGATTTTTCTATTTTCCCATACAGCATTTATTGACCATCAATTTAAGATGCTTATGAATTTTTTTTATATGGGGTCCTTACATAGACTTACACCCTAAGTTGATGGAATCAAAAGCTACAAAGGTTAAAAATACATGTTGATATATTTTCAACCTTTTCTCATAGAACCTACCTTGCAGGGATCCCTACACTTTGGTGGCATTAAAGTTGGAGACTTAATAATAGTTTACCAATATTATTGTCAGGGAGCATCTATATGCTTCTGTAGAAAGTGCAGATTTTATACATGAAATTTTGAATGTGTCGCATATTAACATACTGGTAGAGTACATGTGTTAAGATCGTCTGTAAATTATCTCTGTCTCCAGTGGATAACAAATTTGGCTATGTAATGGCTTAACCCACAAAATTTATATATATGTACATTTATATATATGTACAAAGTTACCAATTTTAGATTTTTGAGCTAAATTTTGCAGTGAAAGATAAAGACTTTAGGCAAGGGAATGAAATTACCAATTATTAATTCACTGTAATATGTGTGCTATATTACTGTATATATATTTATATTTATAGAAACATACAAAGTTTTCATTATTTTGTAAGAAAACAGTTTTAGCGAAGGAAAAGAATATAATTCTTTTTTTTATTGAGGAATAAAATAACAGGAAAAAGATTCTGAATGTTTTGATTGGCTTTATAATGAAACACTCGAGTAACTGATTGAAAAGTTAAATACATAATGTATGTATACCTTGGTTGGCAAGAAAATGAGCCAGGCTAGGTATTTCAGACAAGACCTTGGTACACAGATGTGGCTTAGTGATAAACATTGGTCATGCTACAAAAGTTCTTCATTTAGGTAACTGGCTGGTATAACAGCCATGTTTCCGGGTAAAATTGCCAGTACAACAATGTATTGTGTATCACTCTAGGAAGTTCTAAAAATAATATTGGCAGCTTTAATTGATCATGGAATTAAATGAAAAATGTTTTGCCTTACCATAGCTATTAATGATTAGCGTTATAGGACAAAAGTATAGGGCCTAACTTAGGTTCACAAACGAGTAAATTTGTACAAAAATACTCAGGGCAGATAACTTTATTTGTTGCCTTTGATGTTTTAATGGTATTAATGTTATTGTCATGTGTTATGTTTGTATTGTATATTGTAAATTCTAAATTTAGTGCTATTAACGAAATAAAACTTATTGATGATTCTTTTTACAATTGTTTTCTTTATTTGATACTTTGATGTTACAAAGAAAGTCTATGATTGTATTCTCTAGAAATTTAAATATTTCTTTAACCCTTATATAAAGGGTTAGTGATTGTACTGTAGGAAAGGTGTGAGTCAGTATTTGGAAATTAAATAGCCCATACCCTTGTTTCATCACACAACAAACAGGTCTGCAAAAATAAATCTTAACAAGCCAGTGTACAGTGTTAAAAAGATGTTGAATGATTATTCAGTATTTGAATGAGAACATGGGGAGTGTTGACCCTATATATTGAGCTGTTGGAGTGAGAACTGATGTTTGGCCGTTGGAATCAGAATTTGTAGTGGTTGCCCATTTTGAACGTGATTGCCCCATATTTGGTTATTGGAATGAGAACTCTGGTACTGATTGCTCCTAACTGATTGTTGGAATAATAACACTGTAATTGATTGCCCAATATTTGTCTGCTGCAATAAGAACACTGCTTGCCTTATGTTTGGTTGTTTGAATGAGAACACTTGGGGTGATTGCCTCGTATAGGTCTGCTGGAAGGAATGATTACCCCACGTTACGCTCTTGGAATGAGAACACAGGGAGTGATTGACTCATATATGTATATGGCTGTTAGAATGACAACTAATGATTTCAAACATTACCTTTTCTGACAATGAAGACAACATGGTCAATTTCAAAACAGTTACATGTGCACAAATTTATTAGGATTATCTACAATAGTACACATGTATGTTGAAGAAAATCACTGTTCCGTAAAGTGACGTGGAATCTCTGCAGCCAAGTAGTAAAGGTCCATAACTTTGAATATTTTGCCCCTCACCACAGATTACTAGTATTTCACTCTGGTTTTTGGATTTTTTTCACAATATGCTAGTTTATGTGTCATCTAATAAGGTTCCTACTCGTGCCTCAAACCATGCATGGATTGACACCAGAGGTCTACCTCCTGTTTGAAAGTTGTCACATGACCTTCACAGTGTTGGTGTGACCAAATAACATTAATCATGACAAACTATATTAACAAAAACAACATTAAAAATGTCGCTATTTCACGATTAAACTGGCACAATATTAAAATTAGAATGAAACAACAACACAGTTACTTTTTTACTGTTTTTATTTTATTTCTTTACAAAAACAAATTTGACAACAATTCCTTCTAACTTCCTTAGTTTCTCATCTTTCAACAAAATATTCTGGAAAATTAAATAAAAATATTCACATTTTACATGATTTTATTTTAAAGTAATTATAATAACAGATATAACAGTACAACCCTCTGCATAGCAACAATTTAGGAGACACAGATTAGGTTGTTGCTATGAAGTTATGCTCTCAAAATGGTCTTGCAAAGTTTTACTGTGATCCTTATGCTGTAGAGGTTAGTGCTATATAGAGGGTTGCTTTGCAGTTGTTGTAATGTATAATTAATATAAATACCATCTTAACAGTTTACTTCTTGCAAGAAAAATTCTCTACATATAACACTTTTCCTGGTAAATTACTGTCAAAATAATTTTATTTTTATTTTAGTTCAACATGAAAATTGTGGACCACACCTGTCAAGTAATGGTTACATTTTCGAACTAATGCTAATTAACATTTCAAGGGATTTGGTGCAAAAGGGTTGAACTCATATTAAATAAAGGAGTTACGACCCTTTCACACCAAGCTGTTGATTTGTTCTTGAAGAAATGCTATAAATGTATTACAATGAAATCAATTTTGTTTTACAAGTACAATATAAGCAAATTGTGTATTCACAAATGCTATATAATACAGGCTTTTTGGTGTTAACAAGTCGATAATAATATGTACCTTTAGGGTGTAAAATGTAATTATAACTACTTTTTCATTTTTTAAACTTTTATCCTGTGTTGATTGTTTGTTCCACTTGTACCATTTTTCTAAGAATTTTAACATTCAAAAGAGAATTCCGTGGAGGGGTTGGTTGCTTTTACAGGTTGAGGCAGCAGAACTGCAGCTCTGTTTAACTCGGCATGATCTTAAGAAGCAACTAAATGAGTTTGAATAACTGGAGTCTGTGCATCTCTTACCTCCAGCAGGTGAGGTTGTTTTTACACCTGGTATTGCTTTAAGTTTGTAATACCTGACGTTAGCCAAAAACATCTTTCCTGTTTCAGCGCCATATGACCTTAATTGTGTTGGTGCACCATAAAACCAAACAAAAACAAAACAATGTCGTAACAATTGCTTCTTGTAAATGTAGCGTTATGTTAAAAAGTTCTGGAAATAAGTAGCATTTTTTACACACAAATACCTTATTGGTATTGTGAAGTAAATCTATTGTATAAATACATCATGTATGTGACCTTTTAGCACTGGGGAAAAATTCGCTTATAAATTAGACCTACCGGGTATATCTGATTAATTACTTCGCAATAGATAGATAAACAAGATTGTCTAAATGCAATTAAATTTCCAAAATATACAGATAACTGGTACAAGAGATATAACTTCAATAAATCTGTAATATATGTAGTACTATGTGAATAGAAAAATAATGAAGAAATGAAATCCCTTTTTATGCATTTGATACAACAAAAGATTCCATTTTGAACATCTCAAATTTTAAATGTCTAAACAAGAATCTTGATAATATTAATATTCTTCCAAGACAGGTGTAACCAACAAACATGTAACAATATTATCTTTTTTTATTATACAAGTTTTTGAGGTTATGTTTGATTTTTTTGGTTTCTTTGTTTTTACAGTCTCACTAAATTTAAGAACATTATTTCATTATCTGTTTTATCAGTAATTTACTTTTCAATGAAGACAAACAATTTCAAGCCAACATATGCTTTAGACATTATTTTTTGAGAAAAAAAAAACAACAGAAACTTAGAGGTAGATTTTGTGAATACAAAAAATACACATTACAAAATAAATGCTGACCAATCATTCAGGCTGATATAAATTCCAATGAGGTTTAAACATTGTGAAAAAAAAGGATGTGGAAAAAAGCTAGGAATTTACTGTTACAAATATAAAAATTGCAGGTATTTGCTTAACCAAAAATACATTTTTTTTAAAAAATGCATGCATGCATTAGGAAGCCCAAAACAACTGATATAAATATGGGATAACAGCACAAAGCACTCTTTACTTAAATGAACCATATTTTAACCTTAGCCATCCCTTATACTTGATATTAACCTGTACCACACTAGATTTTTAAAACTTAAGACTTGTATGGTCTTGATGATGTCCGTTGTTCATGTTAGGGAAACAAATATCAAAATTCTATAATTAGAACAAGTCAAAAACTAGAAATGTGTCCATAGGACACGGGTGCCCCCACCGCGACACTGTTCTGTCAATCTTTTTACTAAGTCAAGGGAAATAACTCTACAAATACTGGATAAATCCACAAGCGAAACCCCAGGTGCAAATCTAAAATATGCTGAGCAACCTGCCCATAAGGTTTATTGACTATGTCAAATCCTTTTTGAGAAACTTGCGACACAAGTTGAAAATTGCCCAAATTTTTTTAAGTGAAGGGCAATAACTCTAAAAATACTAAATAAATCCAGACGAAAATACCTGGTGCACAACTGCACATGCTGATCAATATTCCTGTAAAGTTACATGACTCTAGGTCAAATACTTTTTGAGTTATGTGCATCACATGTTGAAAATTGCCAATTTTTACTAAGTCAAGGGCAATAACTCTGAAAATACTAATAATATCCACACGAAAATACCCAGGTGCACATTTACACATGCTGATCAACATTCCTGTAAAGTTTCATGACTGTAGGTCAAATACTTTTTGAGTTACATGCGACACAAGTTGAAAATTGCAAAATTTTACTAAGTCAAGGGCAATAACTCTGAAAATACTAAAAATATCCAGACCAAAATACCCAGGTGCACAACTACACATGCTGATCAACATTCCTGTAAAGTTTCATGACTGTAGGTCAAATACTTTTTGAGTTACATGCGACACAAGTTGAAAATTGCAAAATTTTACTAAGTCAAGGGCAATAACTCTGAAAATACTAAAAATATCCAGACCAAAATACCTAGGTGCACAACTACACATGCTGATCAACATTCCTGCAAAGTTTCATGACTGTAGGTCAAATACTTTTTGAGTTACATGCGACACAAGTTGAAAATTGCAAAATTTTACTAAGTCAAGGGCAATAACTCTGAAAATACTAAAAATATCCAGACCAAAATACCCAGGTGCACAACTACACATGCTGATCAACATTCCTGTAAAGTTTCATGACTCTAGGTCAAATACTTTTTGAGTTACGTGCGACACAAAAGTGAACGGACGGAAGGACAGACAGACAGACGGACGGACGGACAAGGGTAAATCTAAATGCCCGCCACTAATGTGGGGGCACAATAAAGAGCTCAGTCACGCTGCTGGGATAAGCAGGATGGTCTGGTTCTATTCTAATGACATTGACAGCATATAATCTGTACAAAGTGCTATAGCAATAGTCCGTTCTGAATACGAAAGTACTAAAATCAGTGCCGTCTGGTCATGGTCGGCACTACAACAGTCAGTACATTTTTTTTGAAAATTTCTCATACAGTGATGATTGTTTTGTCCAGATTGAAAGATGTTTAGCGTGTCCATTAAAGTTATCTAGCCTGGTAAGGGTAAACTGGCTTGATATCTAGCTCATGTAAACAGATGATCCATTCTAGAACTTAAATAATGGAGGAATACAACTTGTTAGGTTTGGTTTTGATGCCATATCATGCATAAGTTATGTAAATGGCTAGGTCTGAATTCAACAAACATTAACAATCCGCTATAATAACTAAATCACATTCGTAAAGCAAAATTAAATATATATTTAAAGTGGTTAGTATAAAAAGCAAATGATAAATGGTTATGGTATCAATCATATATTTTTTATTTTCACATCAATTTCCATGTATCATGACTAAAGGTGACACTGGCGGGCAAAATAACATTTCTGACAAAGTATTGTTGAAGTTTAAAATATATGATAACAAATGTCAGAATGAATACAGAATAGTTTTACATGTAAATGAAAAATGGTTACTTTTATTCTTTACAAATGTATACCTTTCAAGCAAATCAACAATTATCATGAAACCATAACCAACAAGTAATAGCAAAATCCAAATCCTTCCACTTTTTATCTTTTGATACATAAAAGTATTAATGTAGCACTTTTTTATAAAATAAATAATCACCTTAGTGCACGTGTTAACAGTTTATAGTATAACAAGAATTAACCAATCACTGCAGTGACTGCACTAAGTTGACAAAATATTGTTTAAATTATGAATTATTATTTGACTATTGTAAAACATGTATAGTTCATAGAAAAAAATGTTTGACTATTGTTAAACATCTATAGTTCACAGAAATAAATGAAGAATTTCATAGAAAACAAGGACATCTACATCAAGTCTACATTTTCTTGGCAAGAAGACAGGTTACAGAATCTTAAAGAAAAATGTACACACAAAGTAAGACTAACTGCATATGAAATGTATATGTGCCACACATTCACAATAAAACTGAAATTTTGTCTTACTACAATGTTGGTAATATCTGCAGAAGTGAAAGTGACTAGTGCAAAAATTCAACTGAATAATAATGTGAAAAAATATATATATATACACTAATGATAGTAAAGCGAAAAGCAATTTTGTATATCTATCTCGTTTAAGCTGATATAACTAGAACTGCCACTATCATGGCGTGAAAACCCCCGCATACCACTTTGTCAGAATCAACAGTGGCCATTTAGAACTCAAGGACAACCACCCTGCCAAATCTGAGGTGACTAAGCCAGTGCATTGCTAAGTTATGTATTCTACATGCTTCAAATGTGAAAATGTCAAAATCAATACACTCTGGACAGGCATTGGGGAAAAGCTTTATTTTGACAAGGTCCCTGTAACCTTGACCTCTGACCCAGTGACCTCAAAATCAATACGGATCATTTACTAATCATGACTAACCTCCATGCCAAATATGAAGACTGTGGGTCATAGGAACCGTTAGTTTTTGGGCGGACAAGCTTTTTGAAGTCAAGGCCCCTGTGACCTTGACCTTTGACCTGGGGATTTCAAAATCAATAGGGGTCATCTACTAATCTACTAATCATGACTAACCTCCATGCCAAATATGAAGACTGTGGGTCAAAGGAATCTTAAGTTATTGGGCGGACAAGCTTTTTGAAGTCAAGGCCCCTGTGACCTTGACCTTTGACCTGGTGACCTCAAAATCGATAGGGGTCATCTACTTATCATGACTAACCTCCATGCCAAATATGAAGACTGTGGGTCAAAGGAATCTTAAGTTATTGGGCGGACAAGCTTTTTGAAGTCAAGGCCCCTGTGACCTTGACCTTTGACCTGGTGACCTAAAAATCGATAGGGGTCATCTACTAATCATGACTAACCTCCATGCCAAATATGAAGACTGTGGGTCAAAGGAATCTTAAGTTATTGGGCGGACAAGCTTTTTGAAGTCAAGGCCCCTGTGAGCTTGACCTTTGACCTGGTGACCTCAAAATCACAAGGGGTCATCTACTTATCATGACTAACCTCCATGCCGAATATGAAGACTGTGGGTCAAAGAAATCTTAAGTTATTGGGCGGACAAGCTTTTTGAAGTCAAGGCCCCTGTGACCTTGACCTTTGACCTGGTGACCTCAAAATCAATAGGGGTCATCTCACTAATCACGACTAACCTTCATGCCAAATATGAAGACTGTGGGTCAAATGAATCTTAAGTTATTGGGCGGACAAGAATAAACCGACGGACGCCGGACGGCCAGACGGCCGGACGGACAATCTGATTCCAGTATACCCCCCTTACAACTTTGTTGTGCGGGGGTATAAAAACTTAGCATAATGGAGTATAATAGATAAACACAAATATCAAAAATGAAAAAAAAAAAACCCAACACACATTGTAAGTATTTGTATTTCACCATAAATTAATCTCGAAAAATTATTTCCAGTCTCGTCATGTCAAAAAACCTCAGTAGAGTCCCTTTAATATCAGGTATTAAAATTTAAGAAACAAGTATTATAAATATTAAAAATATTGGAAATAAGTGGTTATCATGTAAAAAAGATTTACAGATTTATGCAATTATGCCAAAAGCAACAATCTGCAGAATTTGTTTGATGAATAGCAGGAAAATGGAGACAATGTCTTGCATAAATGCACAAGCTAATCAAAAACAGGCAAACTGACTTTGTTCTGTTTTGAACAAATTAGGCCCTAAATGATATCAGGAAGAAAGAAAACAGTAAACTAAAGATATATAACAAAAACACTCTACAGTCATCATTTTTTTCATGATTTTTAAGCTATCATGGCAGATTGCGGAACAACCCAAAACCAAAATGCTTAAATTTTGCAATGCACCAAAAGTTTTAACAAATATAAAACATGCATTATAATAAATAAAAACAATTATGAGCATATTAAGCACTTATAGAGCATTTATATGTCAGGCATGTACCACAACATGAGTTTTGTACAAAACTTTTCTGCAGGTTTCATTACAAATACTATGATAAATGCATAATGTCCCAGACTTCTGGGATTGTCCCAAATGTCCAGGATTGTCCCGGACAATACACACAATATAGTTTTGGTGTTCAGATTTCATTTTGCCCTGATTATGTAAGCTGCAGAATTTGTGATAACATGTGCACCAAAATGTATTATATACATGTACCTTTGAACGTAATGTTTCAAATTCCCAACATCCATTTTCTATCTCTTGGTTATATTACCATCCTCCATAAGTTGTATACATGAATGATTTTACACAGTGTAATAATTTATGTAATATCCTATGATACACATATAAATATGTTTAGAAATGAAGTTTTATCTATCATTCAACTATCTGTTTACACAGTAGCCGTTAAAAATACAGTTAAAGCAAATTCTTTAATGTCTCAACTTAGTGACAATTCTTTTTTCTTTTCTGTGATGCAACAAAAATTACTTTCAAAATTTTAATGGTCCATTAGTTATGACAGCTGTAAAATAAATTTTGTGCCATTCTACTTTATAAATTAGATATTTTTGAGAGGAAATAATTTACTCCATTTTTAGCTTTCTTAATGGAAATTCTATAAATTCCCTTTGGAATAAACATTTTTATTTATCATTTTTCAAGAACAGTGTATTTTCAAATTCCACAATTAAAATATGATTTAATATATGTATATCTTTATAAAATAAATGGAAGAAAGGTTGTTTAAGTAGCAAATTATGGGACACAATAATAAACAAATTGTATTCAAACAATTGCCCCTGTGCAAGACCATTACACATGAAAATACTAACAATCATGGACGTATCCATCTCAATACTTCTGTACAGTAACAATATATCAATTCCCAGACCTAAATTTAGTGACAATGTGACATATATCAATTTCCAGATCTTATCATTGTAAAAATGTATCAATTTCATACCTAAATACAGAACAATGTAACAATTTTTAGACTTAAATTTTATCAGAAATGCATACAATAGCTAATTTATTGGACTGCCCAGGTGTACACTAACTACTTATTGGACTTGGCTGGCATTCAATAACTGTCTTATAAAACTAAACAGGCATGCAAAAACCATGTTGGCATCCAATAATTGATTTATTGGACTATACAGGTGTACAATAATTGATTAATTCGACTGTACAGGTGGACAATAATTGATCTATTGGACTGAGCTGGCATACAATAACCGGGTATGAAGCTGCATTGGTTATTTGATGTTTCCACTTATCCATCATTTATGGTGAGCTGAGCAAATCCTATCAGAGATTTATCACATGGGGCTTCGTTTTGGGCACAACCAGAATTCTGTAATATAAAGAAATAACAAGAAACATGGCAATGCCATGAAACCAGGTTTTCAATTATCACCATAGTAGATAAATATGTTGTAGTTGAAATACAAATAAAAGCAACAAACAATGTAACTATGTGCAATGTAAATCATGATTAATGAATTTTCTATTTTTAGTAACTGTAACCTTGACCCTAGGAGGCCAAAAAGCCATCCCAAGTGAGGTCTTCATAAAAACTTGCTTTACCAAAAATTTCATAATTCCAAACAAGTTATTGACCTGAAACCTATTTTCTATTTTTAGTAACAGTAACCTGACTGGAAACAGATTTTCTACTTTTAGCAACAATGACCTTGACTTTGGCTCTACAGGACCCAAAAGCAGGCAGATGAGCTGGCAGGCATGCAACAACCTAGATAGTTTCTGTTTTATAACTAAATAAAGTTTGTTGTGATTAATAGGATATATTACACTTATAATTAAATTTTATGGAGAAACAAAGGGCCATAATAAGGTAAAAGGTAAAAACTTATCCAATCATTAAACCCTGACAATACACAGCAGGGCACTTGTAGATAAAGCTAATCTGTGAAAATTTGAACAAAATCCTTTGAGAAATGTAAAAGCAGTTGGGCAACAGAAGAAATTGTTCACTATATACTCTATATAAGGGGAAAAAAAACAAAGGGCCATAATTAGGTAAAAAATTATCCAATCACAAAAACCCAAGAATATGCATCAGGGCACTGGATAAAGCTTCTGTGAAAGTTTGAACAAAATCCCTTGAGAAATGTAGGAGGAGTTTTGCACAGAAGAAATTGTTCACTATATATTCTGTATAAGGAAAAAAAACAAAGGGCCATAAATAGGTCCAAAATTATCCAATCACAAAACCCCAACAGTATGCCTCAGGACACTTGATGACAAAGCTTCTGTGAAAGTTTGAACAAAATCCTTTGAGAAATGTTGGAGGAGTTGCGCACAGAAGAAATTGTTCACTATATATTCTATATAAGGGATAAAAACAAAGGGCCATAATTAGGTCAAATGTTATCCAATCACAAAACCCCGACAATATGCACCAGGGCACTTGATGACAAAGCTTCTGTGAAAGTTTGAACAAAATCCTTCGAGAAATGTTGGAGGAGTTGCGCACAGAAGAAATTGTTCACTATATATTCTATATAAGGGATAAAAACAAAGGGCATAATTAGGTCAAATGTTATCCAATCACAAAACCCTGACAATATGCACCAGGGCACTTGATGACAAAGCTTCTGTGAAAGTTTGGTCAAAATCCGTTGAGAAATGTAGAAGGAGTTGCGCACTGAAGAAATTGTTCACTATATATTCTATATAAGGGAAAAAAAACAAAGGGCCATAATTAGGTCAAATGTTATCCAATCACAAAACCCTGACAATATGCACCAGGGCACTTGATGACAAAGCTTCTGTGAAAGTTTGGTCAAAATCCGTTGAGAAATGTAGGAAGAGTTGCGCACAGAAGAAATTGTTTACGCCCGCCCGCCGACATACCTCAATCTAATAACCAGATTTTTCCTTCGGAAAACCTGGTTATTAACAATTATGTTTCAATCAAAACTACATATTTTGACTACAAAGCAAAGTGTTTTTTTTTCTTTCATTTTGTTATACATTAAATGTATGAAATAAAATTAAATGTTTTCTTATTGTTTCTCTTTAATCCATACCACCTATATGTTGCATGGGAATTTATTCAAAACAAAGAGTTCCTTTTTTAAATATATTGTGAGGTTAATGTGGATAATAAAAATTTTAAAAACTTACTAAAGCAAATGTTAGACTTTTTAACATTCTATTATCAAGAATTTTCTGCAAATTGGCAGCAACTGAAAAGAAAACAAAAATTGATAATTTGTAATGTGTGTTTTTTTCCCCGATATGCTTTCTTTTTTATTTTGTTCAGGTTATTATGAAAGGTGTAAACATTTGATATGATCTATTAATCATACTAAATATGTTATCAAGTTGTGGGACTTGTCCATTTTGTAAATAAATTGTGAAATTGCAAATTGAAATTGACTACTTTACGTGTATTTATTTTGGTAGGTTTTAATTAACTGATGATGACATTAGGTACTACTGTAATATGAGGCACAGGTATTCTTTAATAACAGTCAATTGTACTTGATATAACTTCAAACAGGGCCAAGTGAAATTTAAATTGATCAAACCTTTTGAGGATTTCATAAATTTTATCAGTTTCATATTTTTCAACATGTCTCAATATAACAAAAGCTATTATGTATAAACAAAAAAGACATTTATTCGCTTTCCAAATAACCAATGACTGTTTTACTGTTGTACTGTGTCTGATCACTTCAGACTTCTTGTTTCCAGAAAATTCAAACATTATTGGCTAATGAAAATAGCCCTATTAAGTATATGTGTTAAAATTTTTGAAGTTATACTTTATGATTCTTAAGTTTATTTTACTACTTCATTTAACTAAATAAAAGCAAATGTAACAGGGGCTAACATTTACGGTCCCCCAGCCGCCCACGGCTACCAGGCTAAAATAGTTAACATTGGAATAAAGACTTACCAACTCTACCAGGCTAAAATAGTAAGTTACCAGTCGTGTGTAACATTGGAATAAAGACTTACCAACTATCATATCCTTCCCATCAACAAGACCAGCTTCCACCAACTCTCTAGACACACTGTCTGAGGAATCTGTAAAATGATAGTTACATTATGCTTAGTTTATAAAACTTTGATGCTAAACTTATAACCAGAAAACCTGGTTTTGCAACTTCTTCACTATTAAAAGTATTTTGCTATATGCAATATTTTCTTGCATTTTTTGTTTTTCTGAAACCTATTTGGTAAAATTTTAAATCGCACAGCCATTGTTAAGGTCATATGGCACATTTCCACAAAATTTTAAAAGAAAATGAAGTAATACTCAACCATTTCTTATTCAAATTTAAAACAAGAAACATGGCAATGCCATGAAACCAGGTTTTCAATTATCACCATTGTAGATAAATATGTTGTATTTGAAATACAAATACAAGCAACAAACAATGTAACTATGTGCAATGTAAAACATGAATAATGTAGGAGGAATTGCCACTGAAGAAGTGTTCACTATAATATTATGTATAAGGAAAAAAACAAAGGGCCATAATTAGGTCAAAAACTATCCAATCACAAAACCCCGACAATATGTGCCAGGGTGCTTGATGACAAAGCTTCTGTGAAAGTTTGAACAAAATCCGTTGAGAAATGAAGGACGAGTTCAGCACAGAAGAATTTGTTCACTATAATTATATTGATAATTCTGTATAATGAAAAACAAGTTACAAAGTAGACATGAAATAATATATCATATCTTTTTTAAATTACCTCCAAAGATGATATGACCTTTGACTGCCAAATCAAGTTAAAATCATGTAAACAGGATTTTCAATGTTAATGTCACTGTGACCTTGACCTTGGAGCCAGCCATGCGGAACATGCGTTCTGCACGTCATCTTGATGTGGTAAACATTTGTCTGAAGTTTCATCAAAATTCTTCAAAGGGTTGAAGAGTTACAGAGCGGACAGGATTTCAATGTTAATGTCACTGTGACCTTGACCTTGGAGCCAGCCATGCGGAACATGCGTTCTGCACGTCATCTTGATGTGGTAAACATTTGTCTGAAGTTTCATCAAAATTCTTCAAAGGGTTGAAGAGTTACAGAGCGGACAGGATTTTCAATGTTAATGTCACTGTGACCTTGACCTTGGAGCCAGCCATGCGGAACATGCGTTCTGCACGTCATCTTGATGTGGTAAACATTTGTCTGAAGTTTCATCAAAATTCTTCAAAGGGTTGAAGAGTTACAGAGCGGACAGGATTTTCAATGTTAATGTCACTGTGACCTTGACCTTGGAGCCAGCCATGCGGGACATGCGTTCTGCACGTCATCTTGATGTGGTAAACATTTGTCTGAAGTTTCATCAAAATTCTTCAAAGGGTTGAAGAGTTACAGAGCGGACAGGATTTTCAATGTTAATGTCACTGTGACCTTGACCTTGGAGCCAGCCATGCGGAACATGCGTTCTGCACGTCATCTTGATGTGGTAAACATTTGTCTGAAGTTTCATCAAAATTCTTCAAAGGGTTGAAGAGTTACAGAGCGGACACAATTTCGTTTGACGCCCGCCCATCCGCCCATCCGCCCAGCCGCCCATCCGCCCGCCATACCCCAATCTAATAACCAGGATTTTCAAAATTGAAAACCTGGTTAATAAGTACTGACTAAGTAGGAAACAGTGCAGACCATAATCAGAAAGCATGACTATGGCAGCTGATCTTGGTCTGAACTGGTCTAATGGGCAAAATTTGTTGCCGGTAGTCTCATTATTATAATTATTAGTAATAATACTTACCTTGTCCAGGAGTGAAATCAAATTTAATGTCATTCAATTCTCTCTTCTCATTTCTGAAAAAAATAAATTGCGACCATCATAGTAAATTGTGTATAACTAAACTCTTAACCTGCCGAATATATTAAATAGACTTATCCAGGTTCTATTTTAAGACTTGTCCATCATCAATTTTGAGGATATGAAAAGTGAATTTAAAGTTAGTCAAGCAACAGAATAGAGCCTTTCTAGAGACTTACAGGGTACCAGAATGGGATTAAAACCTTCAATAAACTAGTGGCATAGCTGCCTCATATTGGAAAATCTGAAATTCCTAGTGGGATTTGAATGCACAGTAGTGAAGGTCAAGTAATTCTATGTAGGTGATCTTAACCAATCAGCCATGAAGTTTCTACGTATACATGTACTATGAATGAATGACTTTAAAGGTTTAGATGTGTACGGCTAAAATCGTACCTTAATCTCAGCACCAGGTTAATCGCTGAGACTGTTTCTGCTTTTGTAACAGTCCCTTCTGCCACATCATTAACCGTAGGCTCCGGCTTACCCTCTACAGGTGGGCTCGGTTCTTGCGTGTTCGTCACCGACATTTTGGCCGCACCTTCAGCAAGCTTCTCTACCGCCTCGTCATCTTGGTCTTCTGAAGGCCTGACACGTGGTGACTGATAAATGAAAACAAAAATAAATATCAAAATCAGTTTATTTAAAAAAACTCGTTTATTTATTATACATTTTGCTAATTTTTTTTGACAACTTAGTAAAATATAAATGAATCTCGTTAAAATAATAGGCACATTTCTTTGAGTTTTGCTTAGGTAACTTAACCAGAATTTATCAAAGCTTTGTATATAATAGATTAAGTTAAGATTAGTAATATATTATGCGTTTATATATTTATACAAAGCAATTAAAGCTTTAGCACAAACAATTTTTAGCATTTTAGCAATAAATAAATACAGACAATATAAAAGCAAAATACAAAGCTAAAAAATTATATAAAACTTGAATTTTTGGTCAATGGAGAAGTAGGCTTTCATAATTTTAAGGAGTAAAATCTTTTGTGACATAATTCTATTATAAAACTGTGTAACTTATTGCTTACACAGTAACATTAATGTTTTCTGCCTGTCCCACACAACTAATTTAGACATTTACCAGTTATATCATATTTTAATGTCAGATATACATGTATATATCAGATGTGTAATATAACTTATACTTGGCCTTAATGATAAATGAGCCGCGTCAAGACAAAACCAATGCAATGCCTTTGCAACCAGCATAGATCCAGACCAGCCTGTGCATCAGCGCAGTATGATCAGGATCCATGCTGTTAGCTATCAGTTTCTCTACTTGTAATAGAGTTGGTAAGCGCACAGCATAGATCCTGATCAGACTGCGTGGATGCGCAGGCTGGTCTGAATCTATGCTGGTCGCAAACGCATTGCGTTGGTTTTGTCATGACGCGGCTCAAATTGTTTTTAACTGCTTTTCACATGATACATACAGTGAAACATAAAATAACATACAATATAGTCCTACAATATAAAAATACATAATATATCCTATCAAATAATTCCTGAAATGTATGAAAGAATTTTGACAAGACAGTATCAAATTTAGCTTTTAAAAAATACTAATAAAACTCCACAATACATAAAGTAGGTTCACCAACAAATTTTCAATAGGTAATTAATGAAAAATAGTTTTTAAACCATAATGATCAGACTTTATTGCACTAAAAGCTCCAGCACAATAGGGAAAAGATCTTGGCCCAATGAACTGATTCATTAACAACATATCTAATGCAATTTGTCCTCCCTTGCTATTTGGAGTTAATTATGAATTGTAAGTAAAAAAAAGATGAAAAAAAAGACAAAACATTCATTCCATGCACAGTACTTAAGAACTGTTCAACACTTACTTTTCATTATAACAACAATGCCTGCTAGCATTTGACTTAATAAATACTGTTTATTTGGCAATAAAATAAACAAAAATTATTTTCTAGGTAATCTATTAGGCTATACAGGATAACATGCAGGGAAGTTTTACTGTTATAACATGATTAAAATAATCAAACTTTGTTAGGGACCTATATGTTCAACTTATTTTTTAGTAAGCTATGTATATTAGTAAAGCTGACTTTTATGAAAGGTTTTAATTCTTGTTAAACTTCAATTTTCAAATGAGCTATAAAATGTGTGTTATACTAAAAATTAGGCAAGCTTTTTCATCTGTATGGAGTTTATAAATAATTAGCTATGAAGTTATTAAACAATGTGAAAATCAAAGCCTTGAGATGCTTATAGAATGTTAGTGCAATTAGTAAGATATTAAGCTTCTGAATGAAAATGATCCACTAGTAAACTATATCATTCTATAAAGATATTATATAATATTTAAATACAACTGAACTAGTAACAATGATTTGCAGCTTAATTTGCAGCTAACACAGTACAACATTAACTACTCTATAAAATGCATGCTTTATTTTTATACACTAAATAGCAATAAATTGCATGTAATTTTGTTATATACATGTTAAGTATTTAGTGGCTGTATATATAAGCTGCAATATGCTGTCATCTGTAGAAGTAAACTTAATATTGTATACTGACAAGAGTAAACTAGAAACATTTAGCATTTTGATTTTGAAATCCAAGTAAATAACAATAGACAAATCAAAATACTAAACAAGGCATTTCATTATACAAATTACAATAAGGCAAAATGTAAAAATTAAAATAACTTAGCTTAAAGTCATATATTGTATAACTCTAAGACAACTGATTTTGTTTTTGTTCTAAAAAATAACTGGCCAAAGAATATAATGCCAACCCCCGCTCAAGTTCAAGCAGATCAGGTAATTATACAACAAAGATTCTGAAAGGCAGGGAAATTTGCAGGGAAGGTCAAGTTTAAGTTTCTATACTACACAAAATATACAGGGAATAATTGCTTACTAGTATTAGTTATTCATAACCCTTTCACTGCCATAGGGACGGCTTAAGCCGTCCCTGATATTTTCGGCGTATTTGCCATATGGACGGCTTTAGCCGTTTCTATAATAATCTTAATAATAATAATAAATTATTAATAATAATAAAAATAATAATAGCTATAAAGAAAATTATACCATCGACAATAATTATTATTATACTAACATATTTGGAACATATATAAATATTATAATACTAATAACAAATAATAATAATAATTATATTAATTAATAATATAGTAATTTCTTAGAAAACCCTCTGGCAAATAGGTGATCAATAAAACAATAACCCTCTGGCAGCGAAAGGGTTAACATAAAGTTAAAATGATCATACTCTGATATGACTTAAACCCTGTTTCTTAGTTGAACTATCTACTTTTGTTATATTATCATATCCACCAGTTTTTACAGGTTATTTTTAGTTTCCAGGAACTGCTTGTACCATTTAAATATTGTGAAATTTTCTAAACATTCAGTACCATGCATTATTAAATTTACTACAGGATTCTTAACTGACCACCAGTTACTATACACTACATGTACATACTTAATTAAATTTACTACATAACATCATATTTATCACACATCATGATACAAACTAAAATACCAGTAAACTAACAACAAACTTATAAACCTACTGCACATTACCAAACTTAACCAGTTACTGCATACTCCAAAACAAAATTTACAGTGCTCAACATGAATATCTTACTTTCAATAAAGTTAATTATAGTTCCCTTACTAAACACAACTTTACTTTATACACATGAATTGAAAAATTACATATCACTTCTTTCACAAGACTTTACTTGCTTACATAAAATGCTTAACTTATTACAAATTACTTTACATATTACACATTACTAAACTAACTACACATAACAACTCTTACAACAAGTTTCTATGTTTCTACACAATACTTAACTAACTACACATTTCTTAACTAAAGACATGTTACCTAACTTACAACACATTACCTAATTTACTACACATTACCTAACTTACTACACATTACTTCACTTATTACACATTACTTAACATACTACACATTACTTCACTTACTACACATTACTTAACTAACAACATGTTATCTAACTTACAACACATTACCTAATTTACTACACATTACCTAACTTACTACACATTACTTCACTTACTATACATTTCCTAACATACTACACATTACTTCACTTACCACATATTATTTCACTTCCTACACATTACTTCACTTACTACATATAACTTAGCTATCTACACATAACTTCACAAGAATTACTACACATTACTTAACTTAATACACATCATTTAACTTACATCACATTTCCTCACTTGCTACACATTACTTAACTTTCTATTTAACTTACTACACATTACTTCTCTTACAACACATTACTTAACTCATTACAAATTACTTAATTTACTACACATTATTTCACTTACAACACATTATTTCACTTACAACACATTATTTCACTTACAACACATAACCTCACATACTCAACATTACCTAACCTACTACATTTAACTTATAACACATAACTAAACTTATAACATATTACTTCACTTTACTTATTACACATTACTTAACTTACTACACAACACTATACAAAACTTATTTTACTTCACATTTCGTCACTTCTTTATATATAACTTAACTCTAATAATTACAATTACATCATCCAGGAGCTATACCCAAATGACCTTTAAGACACAAAGTGACATTACCTTTTGACATCACCAATAATAAATTGTCACATAAAATTATACTATACCTACCGTATATACACATTGTGTAATGTCACAATGAAACCTTGTACACTAATTAAACTACAAATTTAACAAATTACACATTTATTACTAACAAAATTTCTTGATATTACCACCAGTAGCTAAATTCTTCAGATATTACCTACCAAGTATTGTGACATTAATAAAGTTATTTTTATAATATTTACTTGAACATGTGACATTGTAAACCAATACTATGCTATAACCAATAAAATATTGTGACATTAATCTGCACATGTTACATTAGTAATGAAATGCATGTATTTTGACATTACCAACCTCAATGAATTATGTAATTCACTTGGATATGTGAAATAACCAACCTCAATGTATAATGTAACATTACCAACCTCAATGAATAATGTGACATTACCAACCTCAATGTATAATGTGACATTACCAACCTCAATGTATAATGTAACATTACCAACCTCAATGTATAATGTGACATTACCAACCTCAATGTATTATGTAACTAACTTGGAGATGTGACATTTCCAATCTCAATATATAATGTAACTAATTTGGACATGTGACATTACCAACATCAATGTATAATGTTACTAGCATGAATATGTGACATTACCAACCTCAATGTATAATGTATCATTACCAACCTCAATGTATAATGTAACTAACCTGGACATGTGACATTATGAAACGCAATGTATAATGTGACATTACCAACCTCAATGTATAATGTGACATTACCAACCTTAATGTATAATGTAACTAACCTGGACATGTGACATTACCAATATAAAATATTGAGACATTACTAGACAAGACTATATATCTTACCTCCACATCTTCTTGAATGTCCCCTAGCTCTGCCTTGTTGTTCAAACGCTATAATTACAAGGGTGCGTGTTAGCCTTTCTACTCTAACACTGTTAAATTCTATTTATTTCCTGCAGAATTCAACCAATTCTAAAGGATTTCATATATTCAGTCTTTCAATATTAAGTGAATCCCAACAAGTAATTATTTAATTCCAGGCTTAACAGGGTGCCGATACTGCATGATTTTTTTGTGATCTGTAGGGGACAAAGAATCCAATATTATATAAAGCAACGTTCAGATAGTATTATCTTCAAACAGGTTTTAATATTTTATTGTTTTGGGTGACTTACTGGAATGAGCAGGTTCTTTAGCCTCATGTAAAATTATGAAATATTAAAAGAGGCAAATACTTCCATATGCGTTATATGTATCAGTATTTAGCCCCACACAGATCACAAAAAAATCACATGGTATAGGCACTGTGCTGAAGAAGAACTTGTATGTGTAAATAATCCACTTTACCACTTGTCAAAAACTTGAAAATACAGAAAAATTGACCATTGCTTTTTGTTGCTTTTTTTTTTTTTTTTTTTTTTTTTTCAGCACTTTAATTGATATTTACCAGCTTACTTTCATTTCCTTGTTTATTTTAGCATGTAGAAGATTAAAACAAGGGCTTACTAAAAGAGGACATTCCAGTGTTCCTTCAATTATTAACATCATATCTAAAAATTAATCTTAGTAGAAAATCAGGCATAAATGTCCAAAGATTTCATTGAAAGCTCACTTGACCTAATTAAATGATATGTATGTTAAAAAACAACTAAAAATGAAATTCAGCAACAAAAGTCTATAAATTGTAAAATCAAAACTTTAAATACATGTACAGTAATGATTTATAATACTGTCAAGCATATAGGGTGCAGATTTACCATAAAGTAGAACTTAAGTATAAGCCCCACAAAAAAAATATATATAAATAAATAAAATTAAATTTAAAATTAGCCCAAAATAATGCACATCAAACTAACCTTAGTATAGAGAAATTGAAGTGTATGGAAGACATTTGAGCCGCGTCATGACAAAACCAACATAATGCGTTTGCGATCAGCATGGGTCCAGACCAGTCTGCGCAACCGCGCAGTCTGATCAGGATCCATGCTGTTTATTTACAAACCCTATAACAAGTAGAGAAATTGATAGTGAACAGCATGGATCCTAATCAGACTGCGCGGATGCGCAGGCTGGTCTGGATCCATGCTGGTCGCAAACCCATTATGTTGGTTTTGTCATGACACAGCTCATTTTTTCTTCAAATTCAAATCAGGATATAATTCAAATTTAAAGAGGAAAGGTCTTACCAGCACACTATATTCTTATAATAATAAATTTCAACAGCTTGGTGTGAAAGGGTCCTAACTTTTTCTTTATCTAATATTAGTTACAACCCCTTTCACACCAAGCCCTCGCCATTATGTTGAAAACAGAGATTTAAAATAATAAAATATCTTCTTTTTTTTAATTCAAAACAATAATAATTTTTATCCTACTGTTAAATTATATAAAATAATATAATATGCACAAGTTGTGCAGGTAAATATACCCTCTATTCAGGCCATGCTAAATCAATTGCTAGTTTATTTAACTAAGACAATAAAACAACAAAATGAAATATTCTCTATACTCGTTTCATCAAAATCTTATACTTAATTCAAGCAGCGAAATTGGAATAGGTTTACAAGCAGTATAGAATCTCAGACCAGTCTTACAGATAGCTTCTAATTTAAGTACATTTTTATATTTTAATATTGAACTAAACATACCTAAATATCAAAGTTAATTAGAGTATAACACAAAATAGCAGAAAAAATGCTTTAGTATCAATTGTTCCAAAAGATATTTAGTTATAAAGTGAGTAAATGGAATATGAATAATACTCAGTGTTCTGTTTACTTTTGTACTGATTTTTCACCTGTTTGAATATTTGTTTGTTTTCAACGAGATTTAAGACACCGCAATACAATATTGGTCATGTGACAACATTCCAGACCTTAGATCCACCTGTGCATTGTTTTCTGAATTTCTAGCTTTAAAGCTACTATCCCACACATTGTAGTTTGGGTGTTTTGAAATAAAATGTCATGACAACATAAAATTTCAACATAGGCTCGGACATTTATATTTTTTACTAGATGATTTATACATATGTTGTTCGAGAAAAAACATCAAGTTATCAAAATGTTTATCATACTGTAATTTTAAACCGTTGCAATGTTTAATTTGTAAATATCAACTTAAATTATAAACACACCAATTAATTGGTTGCATGTAGATTCGTTGGTTGCAGGTAGAACAGTTGTGCGCTTGTAAGTTGTTTTTTTATCCTGCAATCGATTGCTGCCCATTTTGTGTGGGACGTATAAACAATCCATCTGAAAATTATTTCTGAATTTCAAATTTAAATGGAATTAGATGAATAGACAGTTTTCTTGCAAACCATCCAGTATATCATAATATTATTAAGGTGACAGTCACTTCATTTCTGAGGTGATATTTTTTTTTAAATTTTTTTCCATAACTTATCAGAGAACTAGCAATTGATTAGAGATGGCCAGTTTTACAAGAACCATTATATTTATTTACCTCCTATTGCAGCAAAATAAACGGACATAATTTTATGTTATAATATCAACTTAAAACTGAACATACCCTACGAAAAAATCTATTATCATACATGTATCTGAAAGTAGGCAATGCATGTTTTTTAATGAGAACAAGAAAACCCACCTTCCCATGTAAAAAAAAGACAAAATAAACACTAAATCTAAACCTGCATGTACCGGAAATGATCAGTCTTTGACACCAATTCTGTGCCGTCTGACCATGCTCTATATTGTTGGTAACTCAAGTGTTGTATTTTAATATTGAAATCACTTAAACTTTGAATGGACTGTTCTGAAATAAAAATACGGGAAATTCCATTGCACAAATCAGCAGGATTAAGGCTGAGCTAAATTTTACATGTTTCAAAATGATATGAAGAATTTATAGGAATGGGGTTATATTGCAATTGAAGTGCAATAAAAAAAAATCCTGATTTTCAAATTTTCACTATCAATACATTTCTGTTTCATTTAAACCTGGATGAAAAGTAAACAGACAGAAATTGGAAACCACTCAATGAAATGATGACATGCTATTGGTCATATGCAAATTAGCATTAAAAAACAACCAATCAGATTCTTACAATTTGGTCTGGTTTTACAATGGCAAACTTTTGAAAAACTACATATACATGTATTAATGAAAAAGAAAGCTTCAGAAATGATACCTAATGGCCTATAAGCCTTATATAGTTGTCAAGCTAGCCTCAAATTACAACAAGCTTTTGTTATAAAGCACAGATATCTCAAAAACATTAAAAGAACAACCCCCCTTCCCCACCACCACCCACTAACCAAATAGTTATTTATACTCGAGATGATAAAAAATGGCTGTACTTTTAGCATGTGCGCATTTCATGCAGTACACCATAATGAACAATGCTATAGAGCAGAAAGCCTCAAATATTATCCTACTTAAATGGCAATACAAATTTGGTGTTTTAAAATATGCAAATTATTAAATTAAGAAAAATGTACAAAAGTTATATCAAACATAAAGAAAATAACTTTTGTTTGTTTAATTTCACTTTTTTTTACAGTTCCAAATGTTTTGCTTGTTCTACAATATACCAGGGCTTTCTTTTACAGATGTGGGATACATTTTGGGAAAATATTCAAGATATTTTTGCAAATCTGAAAGCGAAAACTTGGTGTTAATTGAATTTTAGCACAAAACTTCATGATTTTAAAGAATTTTCATGAGGGTAAGACAACCTAAAATGGCCCAGTTATTAGAAGAAGGGAAAGCCCTGATTATGTTAAGTAGCAAGCTATAATGAACAATCAGATTAAAAAAAGTAACATCCAAGTCTTGTTATTCCAAATCATCATAATATTTTACTGCTTTTAAAATGTAACAGTGTTTCCTGAACTGTACATTTATCAATTTGTTACCTCTTGAATTCAGTTAAACAATATTATTTACTTTTCCCCCAGAAATTTAAGAGTTTTTTGTATATTTAAAAATTGAAGAGGGTCAAGCTTACACCAAAAAAAAAAGCCCGGTTGTTTCAAATTTCATTATCTAAGTCAGTAAGTGTATTCTTTTATTACCTAAATCTAAAATTGTAAAATGAAAGTACTTAATGAACATAAATAAGGTATATTTCAAAAACTGAAAGTGGGTCAAGTTTTTCGTTTTCATTACCAAAATTGAAAAATAATGAGAGTACATAAATAAAGTAATTCTCAAGAAACATGTTTGCAATGATAGAAATAATGTGGTCTTGGGTCAAGAATAAAAACTGAGGGTATATCCAGGAAATAAGGATCAAACATGTGCTATATGCCTAACTAAATCATCATGCTTTACCTAACTTTGGATATTACAACTGACTGTTAAACATGCCCTAAAACATCAATTGTAACTTAAAAGCACTAAAACAACAACAAGTAAGTTAAATATAACAATGGATATATCTTAAATCTGGTCAGTGAAAAATCAGTCCTCATCATCTTACACTTTATTACAAGTTGCATGGAGTAAGACATAGTAAAACCTGATTATAAATCAAGGTATTTAAGAAGTCACTAAAACCCTCAGATATTTCTTGTAACAGTTTTTAAGCCGAGGGCCTCCAGATTAACATGACAATTTTAAGAAATGCAAAGAAAAAAAAGTTAATAATTACACTCATACAATCAATTAAAATAAATTTTTATAAACTAAACTAATTCAGAACTAATACTTTTCTTTGTAACATACATTATTGGAGGCATTCAGCTTTTTAAAACTGGAAAACATTAACTACTAACAATACCCTATCCCCAGATATCTCGGACAGAACGTAAGGACTGGTTAATTACAAACCAGAGTCAAGATTCTAACATTATCTTTGAATAATATAACCTACCCTGCTTGCTTCGGCAACTGCCGCCATTCCTTCCTCCGACTCTGCGTCCATTTCGTCATCTGACCACTCCCATGTTCCGTCTTCTGTCTTATGCAGACGCCCACTTGACCCTGGAACTCTTTTGACCTTGGTTAAAGAGAAGCAAATAATTTCTTAAAAATTTATACAATCTTTATGCCTTTAAAACATGCAAATCTTAATTCTTGACAAAACCATTCAATCTTGCCTTTAACTCTTTACCATCTGAAGTTGGGTTATAGATTTGCATTGCTTTGAATATGAAATAGTCCTGATTTCAGTATCAAAATACAAAAATTGAGCTATCAACAATATAGAATCTGGCCATAGATGTGCAGACTGGCTCATCTATATTATGGTTGCCAAGGACTTTTAGAGGTAAAGTTAAGTTTTTACAATATTCCTAAGAAATGAATACTTATTTCATTCCATAGAATGGGAAAAAATGTGTCTAATAATGTTGTAATATTAGATTTAGAACAGGTGAGATTTTTACCACCTGAGGAAAATAGCATTGAATGTGAAATAAATTGTAATAAAGGTGGCAAAATGTAAACAAAGTGGTAATTTGACTTTCATACAAGATACTAATTCACCATAACTGTACCAACTAACGAATCTCAAAAGACACAACATTGAACTTGCCACAAGTTTAATATTTGAGTAAGATATGGTACAACGGTAAAAAAAAACCCACTCACTTTCTGTGGTTTCACTGAAGATCCCTCTGACAATAGTGATTTTACAAGGTAAGTCTTATCCTGGAAGAAATGAACACTATAGATATACTAGAGGAAGATCATAAATGAGCTGCAACACGACAAAACCAACATAATGGGTTTGCAACCAGCATGGATCCAGACCAGCCTGCGCATCCATGCAGTCTGATCAGGATCCATGCTGTTCGCTTACAAACCCTATTACAAGTAGAGAAACTGATTGCGAACAGCATGGGTTCTGATCAGACTCCACGGATGTGCAGGCTGGTCTGGATCCATGCTGGTCGCAAACCTATTATGTTGGTTTTGTCATGGTGTGGTTCAAATGAGACAAGAGCACTGCAAAGGCAGGTAAATATACACCTGAACGTAAATTTGAGTAATCAAAAACAATCTTTCAATTAGGGTAGAGACGTAATAAAGAAACTTGTCTGAAAAATATTTTATCTTAAATTATCCTTATGATACAATATGACCTCTAAGGTGGAGGTATTTTTTTACCTAAGTGCATGATTCATTAAGATTTTATAGAAGTCTACAATGCAATATATCACATAATGACTGTTTGAGTAAGGTTGTCAGTATCATACTAAAATAACATAAATAACATTTTAAATTCCTGCTTATTATTTTCAAAATGAATAAGAAGTATTGTTAAGAAAATTCTTTTAAAACAGATGGTATAATGTTTAATTAATACCACCAGGAATATCACACAATTATAATGGTTCTATAACTTTGAATTCTGAATTAAGCAGGAAAACTTGGCTTAATATTTAGGCTATAAGTAAGTTAAAGACTCATGTCTGCCATTGTGAAGTTTAAACAAATGTAATGGTGAGTGATATTTAAGGTATTTTTTATAAACTTACCTTTGCTTTCCTCATGAATTCATGCTTCAATAACTGTTTAGCTGTAGGCCTGTATAAAAGACAAAAAGTTTAAATATCTTTCATGTAAAGATCCAGTTTTTTAACAATTCTAATCAGGTAGTTTTAGTAAAAAAATAAAATGACATTCAGTTTATCTTAAACAAGCACTAAGTTCAAATGTACACCATGCACTTGACATTGACCTAGACCTTTGACCCTATGACTTCTAAGTGGATCTGGCAGGTAGAACTTACCAAGGTGCATGCACCTGTAAAGTTTGGTGGCTGCAAGTGGAAAGACTTCCATGTTGTAATTAAGATTTAAACTATCCTGACAAATAGACCAACTAAAATCAATAAATCAATAAGCCCTCCTGATCTATTGATCTTTACCTAATAATAAGTTATTCACTGAAGGAGGTCACCCTGGCTTACCACAGGCTATTTGACGGTAAAAAAATTATTTCATTTACCTTTTTTCTGGTTCCTTCTTTAAACAGTCGGAGACAAATTTTCGGAAAACTTTACTATAGTTTTTATACTGATCTTTATCCTCGGCCCCTGCGTCTAATGATGGTGGATCATTTTGTAATGTCAACATTAATACCTGTAATAATCAAAAATATAATCAGGTGTTGTTTTGTTGTTTTATTAAAATCATACAATTTATAACAGAAGAACCAATCATTTTCTTTGACCCTCAAGACTTAAGCTGCTAATTTGAACACTCCGTTTTAAAGGATTTAGTTTAAACATATTTTATTTTATCAATTTTTACAAGCATGTAACATTTTTACATCACAATATATATGGATTGGAAAACAAGCATAACACTTATATTAATAATAAAGGATTTAAATAGCAAAATTCAAAACTTGAGCTACAAAGAGTAAAGATCCTGGTCAGTTTTAATTGATGTGACTCTATACTGAAGGCAAATGCTAAATGATTTTGGTTCCTTTCTTTAAAGGCATGTTAGTTTGGAAACAGATTATCCTTGTGATGTAGTACAATAAAACATGGTTTATCATTTAAATGCATCATTATTAATAAATCAAGCCCATATCAGCCTTTGTAACAATATTACATCTAAATACATAGCATGTATTATTCAACAACAGCATGCTCTCATAACTATGTAACATGAAATCTGCCATGACTAAATCTCTTGGTTTTAGAATATTTAAACATAACATATCATACATACAAAGGCATTGTTTACCAGGCAAATATAGATACAGAAAAAAAAAAAAGTTATATCTGCCTACTTTCATAGGAGGATATTTATGATATGGTGCTGTTCCTGTCGCTAGTTCTATGGCAGTGATTCCTAAACTCCAAATATCTGCTTTAAAATCATATCCAGTCACCTGCAATATGTACACAATATATGAGTCACGACATGACAAAACAAATAGTGCGTTTGCGACCAGCATGGATCCCGACCAGCCTGCGCATCTGCGCAGTCTAATCAGAACCCATGCTGTTCGCTATCAGTTTCTCTACTTATAATAGAGTTTGAAAGCGAACAGCATGGATCCTGATCAGACTGCGCGAATGGTCTGGATCCATGCTGGTCGCAAACACACTATGTTGGTTTTGTCATTGCGCGGCTCATATCTGTTATAAATGAAGAAATCATCCAACATATTTCAATTATACCAATTACTTATTTCAAACAAAACATAAATAGAAATTGTTCTTCAAAATGTCTTTCCAATAATTTTATTTGTATTTTATTGAGTATGCCAAATAAACCTTAAAATAAAATCACTAAAAGAAATAAGTCTTTCATCAACTTTTGCTCTTTTAAACTGAACTTACAATTCTGTAAATAGTTTGTTCAGAAAGGCCATATTTCTGTTTTAGCATATTTACAATCAGAAATGGGGTCAACTTTAATACCATGGAAAATTTTGAGATAAATTTTACATTTAACTAATATACAGTCTTAAACTTTACAATCTATGAATCTTCACACTTCTAGTAAAAAGTAACAAAAACAATCAAGATATAGATCTATATAATACATTGATGCGCCTACAGTATAACGCTAACATTTAGCGCGTCTTTACACTATGTTTGTATAACGCTTATGATGTCACGTCAAAATATATGCACGACCGTGCAATACCATATTTACGGAGTCGAAAATCGGCACGGGTGTGTGATAAATGTATTTATCAAATTTCATACCTGCTCCATGACTTCTGGTGCCATCCAACAAGGGGTACCAACAAATGTGTGTCGCACCGCATCTCTAGTTTGATCCTTCCCTGTTGCCAACCATGCAGATACACCAAAGTCTACAATAAATATTAATCATCTACGATCAACATTTATTTTCACTAAGGTTAAACAAACACTGACACTGAAAGAGGTTTTAAACACTCATCTTTCAGGTCATATTCAAAAGTATCAACTACATTGTGTTTGATTTTTTTAGCCATGTTTAAGTAAAACTGACAATATTAAAGGTGATATGGCAACTTTCAGCAGAAGAGGAAGACCTAAGGTGTCCCTCCCTGTATTATGTCAGATCAGGCTCCTGAGATGATTTTGGCTAACCGTGGTGGTACAAAGTTTGCTAATCAGAGGGAGCCTATTTTGAAATTTTCCCTCAAAATGACAAGTGGTTTTGCCCAGAGAGAAAGATGGGATAGGTCCATTCAAGATATTTTAAGTGACAAGGGTAAAAGTTCTGAGGTATGATCTTTATTAAGATACATCATGCGATCAAACGTCCATTCAAGATATTTAGCATGGTAAAGGTTAAAGCTCTTTAGTATGATCTTTATCAAGATACAATCAAACATTCTATTGATAAAAGACAACAAAATATAGCTTTATACACTTTCATAAATAAATGAAAATTAATGGTCAAACATGTTGTATGAGATGTGTTCAAAAACGCATGTTTTCATCGTCATCTCTATCAATTAACAACTCCACACTAAGATATTAAATCAAGTATAAAATATAGTATTAACCTGCTATATATACCATCCCATCCTTGCCAAGTAACACATTTCCTGCCTTTATATCCCTGAAATGATGTACACCAAATATATATTGAGCTGAGCATATTCTATAAGAATTTATTAAAACAAGTAAATATAGCAATTTACTGATCATTTGCCAGCATATGTATTTTCTTAAAAAGTCAATTATACATTTATGTTGCATTTAAAAAACAACATGTGTCCAAAGAACATGGATGCCTCCATGACATGGGCTTTAAGTTGGCAAAACTTTTTAAGGTGTTTATATTTAAGTTTTAACGCAAATTTATTATGCACCATTGCACTGAGGCCACATGATATGAACAGAGATTAGAACTTGGTTATTAATAATATAGGGTTTTACAATGTGTAGCAAGTAAAAACTACACACAAGAATACATCAGGAAAAACACTAACAACCTGATATGTGACTTTTATTTTACAAAAAAAATACACGTAAACAATATTAAACACAATATGTAAATTACATCTGTATTATTCTATCCTTTGAAGATAATAATTTCAATTTCAGGTAACTTACCTGTGAATTTGTCCGTTACTATGGAAATATTCAAGTCCTCTGAGAACTTCTTTAAGAATGGTTGCTATGGTAGCCTCATCAAAAACACCATTTGTACAATTACCTGTTCTCATCTTGGCTTTAATTATGTCCAACATAGAACCTGAAGATAAATATGCTTAAAATCTTCAAAAAGACTGAATCAATGGATAGATTATGTTGGGGGAACAATGGTACAGTGGGCAAATGGTTAATTTGTCTGCCTCTCATCAAAGGGATCGGGGGTTTGAGCCCTACTTGGGTAACAACCTTGTTTCCTCATATGACAACCCTAGTTCTGGTCAGTCTCAGAAAGTGGACTCAAGATGGCTTCAAATTACTTCAGCCTTTCATTTGTTATTTGTTTGCTTTCATGGCACCCCAACACAATGCCATATGGCACCAAAACAGGAAAAAGATGATTTTGGCTAACCTCAGGTGTTAAAAACTTAAAGCAACACCATGGGTCAAAACCACCTCACATGCTGGAGCTAAGAGATGCATAGACTCCAGTAATTTGAATCCATTTAGTCATCTCTAACAATAACACAGAGATAAATGGTGGTTGCAAATCTGATGTCTCAATTCTTAAAGGCAACAGCTCAGCCATAAGGGGATTCAGCCTTTCATCACAAATGATCTAAAACAAATTTAAATGTGTTAAAACTTACATACGATACCTACCAACTACCTTACATGTTTCCACCTAACCCATTAAAAACAATTATGCTATTTTCTCAGCTACTATTATTATTACAATAAATATACAATCTTAAATGTTTATAGGAATATGATCAATAAACTTATAAAGTTATGAGCATGAAAATGTTTTATTATCTGAGAAACTTCTAAAATAAATGTCTAATATATTTATATACAACAGCTGATCCTGGAATAAAATACTTCAGAAAACAAGAGTTTGAAGCTCTTCAATCATCATGTGAAATGTACAATTTTAACATTTAGAATATTTATACACATTTCTATTGTTTATCAACACTGCTAAGGTCATATGGTATTATTCCGGTTCTAACTGGTTAAAGAAACCAACTTGATGACCCATTAAGCGATATTGCGGTCACGGCAAGCATCATTGTATAACTAACAGCATTTTTGACAACGAGTTCCACAAGATAACAAACAAAGTTCACTATCTTTGACATTTTTTTTACTGAATGTTACAAATACTGGCTAGAAGTCCTCCATGAATATACTGAATGTTCCCCCACAATATTGATGGCCTTGTGGTAAAGGTGTCTGCTTTGCTACCCAAGAATCATAGATTATTTTGAAAAACTTATCAGTAATTTAACAGTTAAGAACATTCAAAGTTAAGAACAAGAAATCACCTCCAGCACACAGCTTCATCACCACCCAGAGTTCATCCTTCACCACAAATGATGTATGATAGCTGACAACATTCTCATGTTTACACTGGCTCATAGCCTGGATCTCTTTCTACAATATAAGTGTAATGATATTATTTCACTGGCTCACAGTCTATATATCTTTACTAAATAAGTGTAAAAAATAAGATTTCACTGGCTCACAGTCTATATATCTTTACTAAATAAGTGTAAAAATATATTATCATGTTTACACTGGTTTACAGTCTATATATCATTATACAAAATAAGTGTAAAAATATATTCTCACATGGGTGAAAGTTGGAAATTTTAAAAATCCTGAAAATCCTGAAATTAGCATTTTTTCTATAGTTTTACATAGGAAATAGACGGCTTTCAGGAGATTGAAAATCCTGATGTTCTCATGTTTACACATTTTATAGCCTGGATTTCTTTCTACAAAAAAGTGTCATTTTGAATGTTACTATTCTAGAGTTGAGCTGGTATACACCATGAATTATATCAGTACAAAATACATGGATACATGTAGGACTTAATTATCAAAGTATACAATAGATTTACTCAGATATTGGTAGCAAACTCATCAGACATATTTATATTTTTTTACCTTGGCTGCCAATTCATTGATTTACTGAAGAGGGCCAATTAACATTACCTGTAATTTCTGGGAAAATCACTAACACTTGTTTGGTTTGAAAATTACACAGTACATGTACATTGTTTAAATTTATACTGCAGCATCACATTATCTGATCTTTTTCTTGTAGAAAAAAGTTTTACTTCAAAACAGTCTGATAATTATAAAAACCAACAACAATTTCATTTATGCAAAAAATGACCTTTTCAATTTGTTTAATAATTTTAACCAATCATCAGCTATCATGCTTTCAATTTTCTCTAGTATATTTTATAACCTCAGAAATTTTATTCAATAGTTTCTAACCAGCATGTCCTTAAATTAATTATTGTTTGTTTGTTTGTTTCATTTTACGCCTTTTCCCAACAGTATTTCAGTCATATAGGCGGGTAGTTTTCTAACCATCGTTCCTGGAGAGTTACACCAGTACTAGACTACCTTCCTCCATGCTAAACTACCAAATCATCTCCCGGGGATCAAACCAACGCCAGGGAGGTAACTGGATTAGAAGTCATCGACTCTAACCCCTCGGCCACGGAGGCGGTAATTATTGTTTGATGATGTTAGATAAAGTTAGGAGTATTTTCTTCCTCAACTTACCAAGAGTTCTTCTACAGTGGTGTTGCATTTTTCTAAGTTGATACGCTTGATTGCACATAACTCATTCCGTGGCTTACAGACTGCTGCTTGAACAACAGCAGTAGCTCCAGCACCTGTAGTCAATAATAAAATCATTAAAATATAAACCTTCCCATTACAGGTTAACTTAGTTGTAAAACAAGTTTTCACAACTTGTATAAATCACTTTTGAGTATGCTTCCTGAAACTAACCAGTACTGGAAAAGACAATAAAATGTAAATGTAGATTAAAGGACATGTTAAAATAATAATAAACTTTCAGTTCCTTACATCCATGACCAATGAGTGACAAAATTAAACTCACACTTTAAAATGTTATGACAGGTGCTTTTTCCAGTCTTTTGTGAATGGGGCTTAGTGCCATAAGAACACAGTCCTTTATAATGCTTTTCAAAAATTAGCTATTTATTTGGGAAAGTAGTTTAAATATTAGTTGGAAAATGACATGATTCATGATAACACCTTATTGTTTTAGTCTCATTGTTTAATGACTCTATTTCTAATGTTTTTATTCATTTGCCAATTTATCAGTAACTACATTTTGACAATTGTGGATTTCCATAAAACAATTGTGAAAAAAGATATGTTTTAGCTTTGTGAATGGGGCCCTATTTTGAGCCCTAAAAGTATTTGATAAAATAACCCTGTATGATGATTCCCTATTAATACATGTTGCAATTACAGACATAAAAACAGTAAGAAAATACTACTCTATAAAAATATCTCAGTAATCAAAGAATAATTGCAATTTGTTTAAGTGACACTGATAACTTCTTTACTTGTTTCATTTGTCACTAACTCTATATACACATTTAACTTGATGTACTCTATAACACGCACAAAATAAAGTCATCAATTCTTAACACAAAAATATATTGTGTTGTGGAAAAAAATACTACTCAGTTAAATTCTATCCATTTTTAAATACCTTAAATTATGTATATATTGTTGCTGGTCCTATAATGAACAAGATTTATCATTTTCATTTCTACAATAACAGCATTTTAGTTGTTTCTTATAGTGATTTAAACAGCTGCTTATGGTACCAATACAATTTACAACTAATGAATGTGTCTTTCCAAAGAATAAATTCACTATGGCGGGGAGTGGGTGGTGGGGGGCATGAATCTCACAATACTGATTGAATGATGGAGCTACATCTATAAGCAGCACCTTAATGGTATGTTTTCTCGTAAGGTATGCTTAATACTCATGGTTTTGGCACTTGCGGTTCAGAAATGAATCTACTTTGTAGCTCTGATAGCCTATGACAGAATTCAAATTTAAATGCGATAAAAAAGATAAATATCTGTTGTTCTTTGTATTTTCCTAAATATTAAAGTAAATCCAGAAAAATGTGTTAAAATTTCTTCACAAATTTAATCATACTATAGTATAGTTTAATTGAATCATAAAACACAAATACAGATAATGCATTTTAAACACTTGATTGGCACTTATGATTTGAAGTGATATGTAGCCTAAAATCATTACAATATAGTGACCAGTCTGTAGCAACCAATCAAATTCCCAGATATTATGAGAAAGTTCATCCATAGGTTACAAAACACAGGTCAGTATACACTTACTGGTATTCAAATATAAACTAGAAATGTGTCATCATGCCACGGATGCCCCCGCATGCAGCCAAAATTTCAGATGGTGCATTAATTATTTTTTTCATTTTAAGTTCAAAGCCCTTAAAACTTTTCAATGTTAACACAAACCATTTCCATACAATGTTCAAGGCACTGAAATTATTCAGTCTTAACCTTTTAGAAATAGCATATTGCATATTTGTAGCCAAAATAATTGCTAAAAGAATGAGTGCTGAAACTGAAAGTTCAAAATTTTTCCAACATTCAAGAAAGATAAGTTTGTCCAAAATCATTGAACCACGACCAAATTCAAACTTAAACTGCTTATTCCTAAGATGTATCTATATTATTTTCAAAGTGAAAGGGACATAACTCTGCCAAAAAATCATCAAACCATGACCAAATTCCAACTTGACCTGCCCATTCCTTTGACATATCCATATGTCAAATTAAAGTTGAATATGTAACACTGTTGGGTAGATAATGAACAGAAACTGTAAATTTCATATTATTTTCAAAGTGAAAGGGGCATTACTCTGCCAAAAATCATTGAACCATGACCAAATTCGAACCTGGCCTGGGCATTCCAAAAACATATCCATATGTCAAATTTGAGTTGAATGTGTTGTACCATTGGGGAGATAATAAACGGAAACTGAAAATTTCATATTACTTTCAAAGTGAAAGGGGCATAACTCTGCCAACAAGAGCCACCGCCGGGCGGGGGTTGCAAACGCTCGACTTTTTACTTTTTCTAAACGCAAACATAGAAAGGTTTGAACATATCTTAATGTTTCCTTTTAATAAATTTAGTTGGTCTGTCTTGTCACATAAGTTTTGTTTATATATTTTGTATATATATATGAATAGAAACATTAAGCAAATTTCTAAAAATAGCAACATTAGGCAATTTCTTAAAATAGCAACATGAAGCAATTTCTTAAAATAGCAACATGACGCAATTTCTAAAAATAGCAACAATGACGCAATTTCTAAAAATAGCAACAATGATGCAATTTCTAAAAATAGAAAAAATGACGCAATTTCTAAAAATAGCTACAATGACGCAATTTCTAAAAAAAGCAACAATGATGCAATTTCTAAAAATAGCAACAATGATGCAATTTCTAAAAAAAGCATCAATGACGCAATTTCTAAAAATATAAAATGACGCAATTTCTAAAAATAGCTACAATGACGCAATTTCTGAAAATAGCAACAATGATGCAATTTCTAAAAATAGCAACAATTACGCAATTTCTATAAATAGAAACAATCGCGCAATTTCTAAAAATAGAAAAAATGATGCAATTTCTAAAAATAGAAAAATATGACGCAATTTCTAAAAATAGCAAGAATGACGCAATTTCTATCAATAGAAACAATGATGCGATTTCTAAAAAATAGAAAAAATGACGCAAATTCTAAAAATAAAAAAAATGACGCAATTTCTAAAAATAGCAACAATGATGCAATTTCTAAAAATAGAAAAAATGACGCAATTTCTAAAAATAGCAACAATGATGCAATTTCTAAAAATAGAAAAAATGACGCAATTTCTAAAAATAGCAACAATGATGCAATTTCTAAAAATAGAAAAAATGACGCAATTTCTAAAAATAGAAACAATGACGCAATTTCTAAAAATAGAAACAATGACGCAATTTCTAAAAATAGAAAAAATGACGCAATTTCTAAAAATAGCAACAATGATGCAATTTCTAAAAATAGAAAAAATGACGCAATTTTTAAAAATAGAAAAAATGACGCAATTTCTAAAAATAGAAAAAATGACGCAATTTCTAAAAATAGAAAAAATGATGCAATTTCTAAAAATAGAAAAAATGACGCAATTTCTAAAAATAGAAAAAATGACGCAATTTCTAAAATTAGAAAAAAATGACGCAATTTCTAAAAATAGCAACAATTTCTAAAAATAGCAACAATGATGCAATTTCCTAAAATAGAAAAAATGACGCAATTTCTAAAAAATAAAAAAAATGACGCAATTTCTAAAAATAGAAAAAATGACACAATTTCTAAAAATAGAAACAAGGACGCAATTTCTAAAAATAGCAACAATGACGCAATTTCTAAAAATAGAAACAATGACACAATTTCTAAAAATAGAAATAATGATGCAATTTCTATAAATAGAAAAAATAGAAAGAATAGAAAGAATGACGCAATTCTATAAATAGAAACAATGACCCAATTCTATAAATAGAAACAATGACGCAATTTCTAAAAATAGCACCAATGATGCAATTTCTAAAAATAGAAACAATGACGCAATTTCTAAAAATAGCAACAATGATGCAATTTCTAAAAATAGAAACAAGAGGGCCATGATGGCCCTGAGGTCGCTCACCTGTATATAGCCCCCCCCCGGGTCAATTTTTACCCAAGGGCTTTTATTTGAACAGACTTGGTAGACACCCATAAGAAGATGTTTCATGCTAAACATCTAAGTTCTAGCTCATTGGGTTTTTTAAAAGAAGATTTTTAAGTTTTTACTATACACATATAGTTAAAAACAATGACACCCCTGGGGCAGGGCCAGTTTTGACCCCCGGGCTTTTATTTGAACAAACTTTGTAGATATTTACTTAAAGATGTTTCATGTATAATATCTAAACTCAAGCTATTTGGGTTTTTTCAAAGAAGATTTTTAAGTTTTTGCTATACACATATAAGGAAAATCAATGACCCCCGGGGCAGGGCCAGTTTTGACCCCAGGGCTTTTATTTGAACATACTTGGTAGACACCCATTAGAACATGTTTCATGCTAAATATCTTAGCTCTAGCTCTTTGAGTTCTTTAAAAGAAGATTTTTTAAGTTTTTACTATATGCATATAGGGAAAATCAATGACCCCCTGGGGCGGGGCCAATTTTGACCCCAGGGCTTTTATTTGAACAAACTTGGTAGACACTCATTAGAACATGTTTCATGCTAAATATCTTAGCTCTAGCTCTTTGGGTTCTTTAAAAGAAGATTTTTTAAGTTTTTACTATATGCATATAGGGAAAATGTATGACCCCCTGGGACGGGGCCAATTTTGACCCCAGGGCTTTTATTTGAACAAACTTGGTAGACATTCACTAGAAGATGTTTCATGCCAAATATCTAAGCTGTAGCTCTTACGGTTCTTTAAAAGAAGATTTTTTAAGTTTTTACTATATGCATATAGGGAAAATCAATGACCCCCGGGGCGGGGCCAATTTTGACCCCAGGGCTTTCATTTGAACAAACTTGGTAGACACTCACTAGAAGATATTTCATGTCAAATATCTTAGCTCTAGCTCTTTGGGTTCTTTAAAAGAAGATTTTTTAAGTTTTTACTATATGCATAATTATAGGGAAAATCTATGACCCCCTGGGGCAGGGCCAATTTTGACCTCAGGGCTTTTATTTGAACAAACTTGGTAGACACTCATTAGAAGATGTTTCATGCTAAATATCTTAGCTCTAGC